TGCCAGAGCTGACAGGAGCAGCACTGCGCTCTGCATCCAACAGAGATGCAGACTGTATAGTTGCTCCCGCAAGTCAGGTACGCGGTCCGTGACCGTGTGCCTGACTTGTCAGCTGGCTGCGGGCCACATAGTACCGATTCGCGGGATGCATAGGCAGCCTTTTTAAAATTGCATGGGCTGCCTTAATGCAACACATGGGTTACCGTATGTTAACACACCGTGGATGTATGTGTCTAAATCAGGGGTCCCAAAGAACCAGCTCACGAACCAGTACTTTGAGACCCCTGATTTAGACACACACATCCAAGATGTGTTAAAATACAGTATACCATGTGTTGCATAAAGACAGTCCATTCATTTTTAAATAGGGTGCCTATGCATCCAACCCTTTTTTTGGAAACACAACACAGGGTATAGTATAGCTGCAGCCAAGGTGCATTGTCTCCATTAGGGTGCATTGTTGTTCCATTCCAAATGGCATTCAAAATGCATGGCACTGTAAAGCACTAATCCTTAAATATGGTAGTACTGCAAATGCAATACTTTGATCCTGACCTTAGAGGCCATTCAAACTGTGGCCATGCATTGCAGTGCATTAAGACGCATGCAATAAAGTGTAGGTATTTTGTAATTAACATAGGTTGTGATAAGGCAGCCTATTCATTTTAAATGGGCTGCCAACATACTGCAACAAATACTTTAACAGACATGCACCTTTTTTTCAACGCAGCACACACAATGAAAGGATGGTTCATATTTGCATGTTCGTGTGTGTGCTAAAACTCATGGCAATTGTATTGTGCTGTGTAGGTACATTTTGGAGCATTCAAAATTAAAAGCACCGTAAACCTATTGTGGGCTACCATGCTTTGCGGTAAACCGTGGTAAAAAAGCACATTAAACATGCATTACTGCAAGGCATTGTGTGAAAGGGCCCTTATAGGTTCGAAACAGAAATAATATTGATCCAAGAAGATTTAACACGTAAAGCCCAATGGCATTTTGCAAGGTTGAAAAAAACACTTCAGTTTCACAGTTACAACACTCTTGGTGTGGGGGAAATGTCAACTCAGCCGGTGCACACCTAGGCGATTTATTTTGCGATATCACGCAAAACACAGATTCGCATTGAAGTCAATGGAGGTTGTTCACACCTTTGCAGTTTGTCGCGCGACCGAAATCACCTGTGGCACAAAAAAGTGCAGCTGCTAGTTTCGGGAGGTTGTCACGCGATTTGGGTCCCATAGACATCTCTATGCATTGAAAAACGTGCAACAGTCGCGCGGTTTACAATGAACAGTCTCTCGATCAAAAACAGCTCAGCATCTGAATCGCCTAGGTGTGAACCCAGCGTTAAAGGAGAAGTCTAACCTTGTATTATAGTTTCACAGCTCAGTCGCCTAACTCCCACAGTTAATGTTGCTCTTTATTCCATGCTTCTGTTACCCATTTCTACTCTGAAGAAAAAGCAGTTTGTTTCAGCATGTCCTTTCCAGACTGATCTGGATTCATTATAATCAGCTGGTGGACTTCCTGTGTTGTAAAGAGGAAAGTTGCAGTGTCTGCACCCATTTAGAAGTAGTTAACCCTTTAGGAAATTACAGCGGCTGCAGTGTTAAATGGAAAGATAACTTTTAATAACATTAAATTACAAAATGGCTTGTGTACAGAAAATGTGTTCTTCATTCCACTTTGACTACTGCCCAAAGGAGCTAACCAAAATCAAATATGCCCAATCTTCACCAAATCGCTGACATTTAGAAGGTGGTGGTTGGGCTTCTATACATCAAACAGAAAACAATAATGCCTTATTGAAAACCCATTTTGTGTCTGGCTCTGCTATTTTCAGGTATGGCACACAAAGCACTGAAAGAATTAAAACGACAACATAATAGTATACACAATGTTTACTATTAAAATTAGAAATTCACATGAACTGGATTATTAAAAACAATATATCATATTTTAAGTAATCTGTTCTATGGCCAGACCAAGCATAATACTATCTAACTAGTAAATGGTTGCAGAAAAAAAAAACACATTAACATAAAAGCTTCTTCCATTTTGAAAACAAACCTAAAGTAATTATATATATATAGATATCTATTGTGGCATTGCGTGGCAATACTACTGTGTTATGTGGCCTCAAAATCTCCATTCCATGGTTCCATGCCTTAATAGTGATTATGCACCTGTGTACATCCCTCATGAAGAGGGTGCTGGGATTTGTTCAGGGCCCCACCTGTGAGTCAGGAGAACTCCACCCAGGGGTCAGTGTGGAGGCCAGTGCAGCAGGGAGCTGCAGGTCCGTGAAACATATTGGAAGGATTGGCATGTTATTGCGGTTGTCTGGAGGAACCAGACAGTGGCCCTGAAGATTGGGGCCAGAGCAGCAGTGCTGCAAGAGAGACTTATTAAAAGACTGGGACACCGTGAGTGTTTGGGACAACTCAAGGATTGGTGAGCCCTTATCTGTCATATGCTACAGCAAGCTATTTATGTTGGATTTCGTGATTATCTACAGTTTTGAAAGACAATAAAGACTCTGTTTTGAAAAACCCACTGTGTGAGTGCTCTGTGAGCTCCCCAATATCACACTATATATATACCTATTACAGCACTGTCCGCACAAAGAAGGCACATCCGGGTACTTGTACTTCAGGCATTTTGTAGCATCAAATGAGAAGCTTAGGAGACAGGAAGTGTCGAGGCCTGGATTCTGTTCTATCAGCCCAGGAAGTACATTACATGCATATTAGAACACTTAAAGTGACACTAAACTCAGGAGTTAAATCTTAAAAATGCATTCAACACACATAGGGATCGTGTTGAACAAAAGTAGCCACCCTCTAGAAGAAAGGATAGTGCCAGCACAAATTCAGAGATGATTTGAGGATCTACAGCCAAGTGATACCCATATAAACTACATTGTTGTTAACAGGCAAGGTACTTGAATGCATTTTTAAGGTTTAGCTCCTAAGTTTAGTCTCACATTAAGGATTTCAAGCACCCCATGTTCTTCCACTGGCTTTAAGTGCAGGCATGCAGAGATACCTGCTGTGCACCGGTCAGTGCTAGATCAGTTATATAACATTTTAGGTTTGCTTTAAATCTGTGCCAATTTGGCCCCCAAAGGCTTGTATAGGGCTCCCAAAATATATCTTTCCGGTTCATCATACAGTACAGGTACAATGGCAATTTGACATGGTACAATGTTGATATATTGCCCATCCCTCCAACCCCATCCCTTCCTATAGGGTCGTAAGGACAACTAGACAGATGTAGGAGAGGTGGGTAAGATATCAACACTGCTTAGTAGTGTGGAAACGTGCATATGTAAGGGGCACAAGGAGAGGTACGGAGTAGGAGCGTAACATCCCACACAATGCAATTTTTGTATGACAATGACAACATTTTCAGGGACAAACCAAAACCTGAAACATTGCTTTTGCTTGATATATTTTCTATATAAATCAATGGAAATGCATAAATGCATCTCAACACATGTGTTAAGACATGCAGCTGCACACCTTATAATGCACATCAACACGCACTGCTTTGTCATAAAAATACTATTCTTTAGTGAGCGTTGTCCTGCTTGTAGCTAAATTCAGCAGCAATAGAGCTAGGCTCACACCCAGGCATTCTCATTACAGTGTGTTTTAAAGTGTGTTGCAACATGTGTCATTGCATTGTGATGTTCATTTTTACCCACATTGATATGGCTCTCTACAACCATTTATGTGCATTACAAAACATTAACACGCATTTAGACGCACTTCCATGGATTTCAATAGGCCCATCAACAAGTTAAAGTGCTGAGGAGAATAGACTGAAATACGCTCACAGAACAGTGTTGACAGCCTTCCATTTTATTTAACCAATGGTCTGTAACACTATAGTCCATATTTTTTTAATGTCCACGTGTAAAAATAATCCCAACTTTAGAGGAGATGTTTTGCTGGTACATACACAAACAGCTGCAGGAACCCTATTCTGAAGCTGTGGCATGAATGTAGTGCTGTTTTGGAAGACTCTGGCTTTCATTTTTCATAACTTTTTTATAAGCAACTCTGCCACTAAAAATAATATCTAAATAATATCTCATATCTAAAATAAAGATGCACCTGCAAAGAACTTGGATACTAATCTTCAGTGGTTCCTCCTTCAAACCCCTACATCACTACTATGTCCTGTAGTGATATAGGTGTTACGGGAAAAAAAACAACGGGACTTAGCGGGGAACCTAGACTAATTAAATTGTAATTGCATAGTCAACCAAGTAGAGAAAGACAAATGTCTGTCTATCAAGCTGAACTTTTCACAACTACAGCAGTTTTGGTCCAGAGGAAAGCAAAACAAAATGCCCTCTGTAACTCTGGACAATTTAGTCTTATGGGCAGAAAACAGATCCACCTGAACCCACATAAGACGTTGGATCAGATCTTTGATGAAAAGTATTCTGATACTTCCCTTTAAATATTATTTAAAGAAAATGATATGTACCAATCTAGACTATGGAATAAGGTGACAGTCGGCTCAAACTTGCAGATGGACTAGGCTAGGATATGAATCTTGCCGCTTAGTTGTCATGTTAAACAATGGAATTTGCATATTTATATCTAGTATTACTTTAAAGATATACTACATATAGGGGAAATAGTAGGAGATATATTATAAATCTAGCTGTGTTTAAATATCCATGATAGTAAAAGTTGAAGGATAAATGTACTTTAATATTAAAATCAACTTCTGAAGCCAACAACTAAATAGTACTAGGAGCCTCCATCCTGATAAAAAGGCAATGCCATTTGCCCTTGCCTTGTGCATGTAATGTCACCATTTGTTCCCTCAGGACTAATTTTAAGCCTGCGTATTTGCCAAGGTGGAGACCAGGGCTAGCAGTTCAGTAACCGTAGTTACTCTGGCATATGCAGTAAAGTTTAGGACAGGAATCAAGCAAACTGGTCATTATTATCTTTGACTAAACTCCTTTTTCCATTTCACAAGAGACCTGTAAGCACCAGAGGTGATGACCACAACACAGACAATATATGAAAGTACACTTATCCTATGAATAGGGAGGTTTTTAATGTTACCAAATTCTAGGCCTTAAATTGATGTCTTTTTTTTCTGAAATCATCATCCAAAAGAGATAAATCTAAAACCAAATATAACATTTCAGTTATAGTACAATGTAAGTATTATCAAACCCATTATAGGTAAATGGTGGGGGTTTGGGAACACAAGATGCTTTTTCAGGTATACAGGCTAAAGGATTGACACTGCAAGAACTGAGGTCTTCATGAGGCATAAAATACACAGCATCCTCAGAGTGAACTGATGGGTCCTCATCAAAGTAGTTATACGGTCGGAGGAAGAATCCTACTCCATTTCCAGCTGTCACTGTATTTGGAATGTCCTCTGAATGAGGGATGTGTAGGAACCCAGTTGTAATCCAAGCCACCAAATCCTGTGTATGGAAAAAAAAAAGTGTATTATTTCGATGAGAAAAAACGATGACTCTACTGCTGTAAACTATATGCATGTAATATGGAAGATGTAGATTTTTTTATAGATAATTTTTAGCAAGCAATAAGGAGACTCTTATGACTGAACTACAGTAAAAGAAGCAAGCTTTTATGCTCTTCCAGGCTTAGGAGAAGTCATGTCTTACATTGAATCCGTGCTTTGCCCCTGCAGGTTCATTTTCATATTGTCCCCCTCCCAGCTTATTATACTCACCTTTCTTTTATTCCCTTGCCACTCCATTGAGCATTGAATACAGGCTTGAACCATGGCATTGGTGTCACAAAGCATTATGGGCATTGTAAACCGAGAGAGAACAAAAATATCAATAACAAGCGAGGCTCCCCTAAATACGAAATCCCATAAGATGGAGCTGTCTATAATAGAAAAACAGGCAGTACAATGTATCAAAAATTTAATGAAAATAAAGAAATAGAAAACAGCATTAAACAAAATCGCATCAAAAAACCACCAACTGACAAAGACATTTAAAATCAATAAAAGGCAAGTCCTCCTTAGTATGGCCCGAGTGAAAAAGAACAAAAATATCTTTGGCCTTTCAGACTGTCTCTCTAAATGAGATTCTGCACATAGCAAAGAGATAGGAGGAGGTGACACATTCAACTGTATATGCAACCAGGAGTTTAGCTATTGCACTTTGTAAACAAGAGGATTTGAGCAAATCAGATAAAATGTATGTCAAGGCAATTTTAAAAAAAATTCGAGCAAGAGAACGGAAGGTTTAGAACCCCTGTCAGTTTTGTACGGCTATCAGGGGCACCCCCTCACTTCCTGTCCTGCTGACAACATGTTATCAGCAGCGCACACACAAAAATATAGACAGAAATAAAAAAACCTCTAGGCGGAATGCCAGAACCCCTGTTAGATTTTCAGTTCTGTTTGTACCCCTGTTGCAGATTGTCTCTCACTTCCTGTTTAGTAAAACCTTGTCAACAGGACAGGAATTATGGGAAATCTCTCTGAGGCCAAATTTACACCACAATGATGTGCCCTACAATACATTGTGCGCTGATGTGTGATGTGGTGGAACAGCCCAATCAAAATGAACATTGGTATGAATAGGCCCTAAAGGAGAGAACAGAAAAAACCTAATGGGTGGTCTTAATCCTTCCATGCTCTATCCAAAACTTCCAATCTAAAAAAACAAAACTTTTGGCTTAACATACACTTTAAGGCCTGCCATAAATACGTGTGAAAAGGAGCTCATCCTGCTTGTTCCAAAGGGTAAATATGAAACATTCATATGCAACATTTCTTATTTACATGACAAAAAAATAGTTCCAATATTTTACTATTAAACCTTGAACATAATAAATACAAAAATAATATACAATCCCTTTTAAGGTGGATTCACATTAGCTCATCAAAAACTCACCTGTTCTTGAATGTTTTCGTTATCAATGAAGCTAGAGAATTTAACCGATGGTGACCATGGATCATTTTGGTTGTAGATGCTGCTGCTGTGCTGCTCATTGTCTTTGTACTTGGTAACAGCCAGCTTGTATCTAAAAGACACACAACAACAGATCAGGGTTATTAAACAATCTATATTTTGCGAACAAACTCCATATATAAGCGATCCTTCGCTTTATTGGTATTTTACTAGTGTAACTTACATAACTCTGTGGCAGGGTTCCCATACAGAACCCAGTATTTGCAAGTAATGCTGCATGTTTCAGCATCTCTTATAGTAATTAGAACCTTGTTAAAATGAAAATAATGGTCCTTTTAGTATGTGCCAAGGACAACATGGAAAGGTTTGCCCAATAGAAATCTTAACAAAATGTGGTGTCTAGTGATTAAAAGGTGAAAAAATTAGCGAGAAGGTATTTAGTTCTGATGCATATTGCCACAGACATTCCTATCTACTCATCTCTGCTTCTCCTATACTAAAAAGTTATCCTATATGCATATCAGGTGGCAAAGCCCTGTTTCTAAATTTTGGACTCATGTCCAATACTTCCATATTGCCACTATACTATTTGGTAAATCATTTTCCAAGGAACTGACAATTGCCCTTCTCAATAAGAGATGTGTACTCAGGGCTGCAAAGCAGGAGACTGCAAGATCTTGGAAGTCAGCAAGCCTCAGCCTCAGTGAAAGGGCACATTACATGGATTATGTCTAATGAAATTAGATCAGCTAAATTAATACCATGACAAAGTTTGGTGCCAAATGGGCTTCGTGCGTACAACCCTATTTAACGTCTAATTTTGACGTCAAGCTCCTACACTTGTAATGGCTGTACTCCCACCCCTTCTTTGTCCCTTCTTCCTTTCCTCTCTACTTCCTTCCATCTATTTTTCTCAAGTGTCCTTTTACTCTCAGGTCCACAGTTGATGTTAAGACATAGGCCACTCTTCCTGCAGTTATATTATCATCTAGATCTCAACAATGAGTAAGCTTAGAGCATACTATGAGGATTTTGTTTCATTAGTATCTCTTTTATGCTACCTATGTCCTGTTATTGTACTAGCCATGATGTCTCTTGTGCCTTTTATCAGTTATTTATTCTAGTTCTTTCTATGCGGTGTCGGTGACTCATATCCATGTACCCGTTTACCTGTTTGTTACTTGAAAATTAAATAAAAATCCAGATGTGTAAATGGCAAATTACCATGGAGGTCATGGTGGTACTATAATCTTCCAGTGTGAAATACTGCGTGTAAACTAGTCATGTTGACACATGTAATCCGACTACTACTCATGTAACTAGTAAATGTCACCTGACTACTACCAAGGGCAAGGGGTAAAGACATCTTACTCCAGGATCAATATGAGAATAATGATTGTGAGTTGAAGTGGTGTAGAGAAAGGTTTTTCAGTATAATAAATATACTATACAATATAATGTATGATATATATGAATATATAAAAATTTCTATGTCAAGCTCTAGGGTAAGTTAATGGCTTAAAGTTGAACTTCTACTCTTTCCAATCACTAAACTTTATTTCAAACAATTCGATTAGAAAATGCTCTATTTACTTACCTACAGTGGTCAGGTGATGCACCAGATCCCAAGTCTTCTATCCTTTGAACTGCATGGGTGTTAGTGATCAGGCAGGTTGACCCGGGTGATGGGGGGGTGTTATTGAAAGGTTCAAAGTGTCAACAGTTCCTGTCACAATATTGGACAATTAACATCTGCCATAACATATTCTATGGTATGGCTGTAAATGGTAGAGTATGTTCCTGACACTTAGAGCTAAGGGAAATGTTTGGATAAGCACTGAAATGTCTTCAACATTACAGAACACATTCAGGTGAATATGACTAACTACTCTACTAGTCATATCGTATCCTGAATAAATGAGGGCATTTTAGGGTTCACCTTTATTTAGTTTTTTTTGCTTTCAATCATTTATTTTATTGAACAATGCGCTGAGAATGAGGTCAACAACTGGTCATTAGGCATTTTGTATACATACAGTCACGTAATAACACAAAAAAGGATATGGCTGATAGGTAAGGAGTAAGGAGTATTCGTTGTTCTCAGGTTAGCAGTAATTAATGGGCAGTGGTCAGTGATATAACCAGCTTCACATAGAGACAGAGGCCTCTACCTACTCTATACAGAACACAAAAGTTACCTTTTCTAAAAACAGTGAGATAGTTACAGTTACAACAGATGCTTGCAGACTTGGGAACTCCTGTTGCCCATAATGTCTATTTCCCAAAGAGTGCCTATTCAAGAGTTAGAGGTAGGTAGTTGATCATATGTGTATTGAAATATCGTACCATAGTCTAGAACTGTTTGATTTTGGGACCTGCCCAGAAAACATGGAACAGTGTAAGGAGGGCTTAGACTCAATAACTAGAACCGTTGCGGAAACATTTAGGAGTAATGGTAGATTCTGAGCATCACCTCCCAGTACGTTGCGGCTTTGATTGTTCTCCAGGATAGTGGCAGAAGATTAGGAAGGGTGTCTGTGGTGAAATGGGGGGACTTTGTAATCCTTATATTGATTCCTGTAATTGCTGAGGGGAAAAAATTAAAAAGACTAGAGATGGCACATTTTTCTGATTTAGGATGTTGTAGGAGGTGTAGAGGACGGCAAGGCTGGGTGGTGGAAGGCAGGTACATTTCGCCACTATTTGGGCTGTGGTCCCCTTAAAGGACCCAGAGGGTTAACCTTGCTGGCACAGGAAGCAGCTAAAAGGGTCAGCAAATCCAGAGAGGAGTGTGCGAGTTGAGGAGGAAGTGAGTAGCTGTAGCTGTGTGTGAGAGAGAAAGACTTTCTGTATTGCTGTGCTGTGCCTTGCTGGAAGGACTGCTATTCCTGGGAAAGGATTCCCCCAGGTTTGGGACTTTGTTACAAGTCGGTGAGACACTTATTTTCTGTTACTTGTGCTGAAGACTTGGACTTTTTCCTTTGAATTCGCTGAGGATAAGCGTGTATTTTATGTTTACCATTTTGGCTGCCCTGAAAGGGGAAAATAACGCTTTTTTTTTCATTAAAGACGCTGTGCAAAGGCTCTGTGGGCTCCCCAACATCACAGAGGGTATCCAATTGGTTTGTCCAGTCTGCTTGGGACAGTTTCTTTACAACTGAGGAGTTGTAAGATTTACTTTTCAAAAAGAAAAATGCCTTATTGGGTAAAAAGAGAAAACATTTTCCATGGCTAATGCTACCTCCAAGCAGTGAAAGTTGCTTGGAGGTAGCATTAGTTAGGGACCTGATAAATCAAATTCGATTGTGGCATTTTATAAGAGTGTAGATTTATGGTTCATTTGGGCTCTGATGAAGTGGGTGTGCCCCGGAAACACATCAGCCTTAAGCACAGAGGATTAGCCGTGAGGCGGCATGCCAGCCAGCGTATCAGCGCCTTCTGTGTTGATCATTTGAAAACGGGTTACACTTTCTATACCTTGATCAAAGGTCAAATAAGTGCTTTTTACTGCACTTCTTGTGAGTATGTTTTTTCTATTTGTTAATTGAATTAAAAGTGATTCCGCACATGTCGGGGAGCACTGTGCTTTTTTGTAGAATTTAAGGTCAGGGTTCCCTGAAGGAGCAGCAGATCGTAGGTGTGCAAATATCTTTTTTGTGGTCACCTATGGGGAGAAGGTTGGTCTACTAGCTGTCACAAGCGCCAGGTATCTAGTATTGTTTGAACCTAAGTTCAAGAGGCTAAGTATTACAATTTCAGATCAGGCATGTTGAGCTTTTCATTGCTAGTTGGTTGTTGTAAGTTGTGGAGACTTATGATTGCTTTGGGATGATTAGAATGTTTTAAATGAATGGGCAGAACTTGCAAAACAACCATTTTTATTAAACTAACTCTAGCAGTTCATTTTACACTGTATACAAATATAAGATCTACTCCAATGGGGTTTTATATATTTGGTTAAGTAAAGTCTGAAATATTGTTTTTTAACCTTTGTTGATAGAGTGTTTTTTTTTTTTTTAAGCTAAACTGTTGGTTTTTTTTTTGCAGGGCTTCTTCTGAAAAGTGGGCTTTTGTTTTATGCTGTATGTAATTTACGTCAGCCCGCTGCACTTAGCACACTGTTTTTCTGTTTCATATTCCAGACAGTTGCACCCTGTATACTTGCTGTAAAATACATATTCCAGAGTGCTGCTCTTTATACAATGAGCAGTTTCATTTATTTTCCTGGCTGCTGCATTTTGTAAAATATACTGCACATTACATACTGCAGACTGCTGCACTGTACACCATGCTGTACAACACCATGCTGTACATTCTTTATATTTCTCCAGGCTGCAGTAGTCTGTCCAGGCCCGGATTTCCCACAAGGCCACCGAGGCCCGGCCTCGGGGCGGCAGAGCGCCCAGGAGCGGCAGCGGTGACCTTGTGGGAAGTTGCGGGCGCTGGTGTAAGGTGTCCGGAGCAGGGGGAGTAAATCCGGCCCTGAGTCTGTCCATGCTACACATTAAATGCACCAGCCAGCTGGATTTTGTAAGATGTGCTGTATGTTATATACTTCCTACAAATAAACTATATCCAATGTATGCTGTGCTGTACAGTACATACTCCAGATTCTTGGCGTGTTTACAATGTACCACACATTACATTCTCCCCACTGCTGCACTCTTTGTTCTGCTGTACCTCTCCATTACTACACTCTCTATGCATTACAGTACTCACTTCAGCTTGGACCATTGCATTTTGTAATCTGTAAGGAGCCTTGCACTCATTATGGAGAAAAATTGTCTATTGGACAAAAATCTACAACCTCCTGATAAGACCTTTTAATACAGATGGTGGTAGCCTTAGATAATCTGGCTTGCTGTCACGATACCGTGTACAGGTGTCCCAACACCACGTGCAGGTATCTCTACAGGGGAACCAATATGTGACCACACTGCAGATACCAAACAATTCCTGTGAACTATAGCTTATTAGAAAAACACCACAAACACATGCAACCCCACCACCACCCACAAGAGACATATGAGAGCTAAACAATATACAACGACAAATCAGATATCAGAGATAACAGGGCTGGGTATAACCTGGAGAGCAGGGCAACAAGAGGGGAGCCAGGAGACACAGATCGGGGGGGCCTCAAGGCTAAGGGTCAGGTCCAGGTCAGGGTACAAGGCAGGAACAGGATACAGGCAACAGGATATGGCGACAATATTGAGACACAGGTCTCATTGCAGGGAGAGGTTGAATACCCTCCCAGATCAGCACCAGGTGGCGACTAACTGCTCATTGCTGGGACACCCACAGGTGTGCACTGGAACTGCAGGACCTGGTTCCAGCGTCACAGTGCCACCTGGAGGTGCTCAGGTGCCTGACAGCTACTGGCTGCCTGGAGACACCTGCAGGCGAGCACTGGAAATGCAGGATCTGGTTCCAGCACCATAGTGCCACTTGGAGGTGTTCTGGTCCCTGACACTTGGTCAATAAGCTAAACACAGAAAATGTATTCAACAAAGTATAGCTGAGAATACATTTACTACAATGCATTTTATATGTCACCATATGTTGTACACTTACTTAGCCCAGCTCATTGAATTGTGGAGTTTGCTCCTCTCTGGTAGATAGTCCCCAGCAAAACTGATCATCTGGATCCTATAGCCACGCTGATGGTCCCACTTATTTTTCTGCTTGCTGGCAAACTGGATATATCGCGGCATTGGTCCATGCAATTGAAATGCTGACTGATCTTCAGTTTCAAGAACTTTCCTGGTAAGCCTTGTTTGCTGCAACTTCAATTCAGGATTCCAAGGGATATTCATATCCTGAAACTCCATGTCAAGGGCCACCACAGAATTATTTAATCCTGTAAAAAAAAATACATAATTATTAAAAGAAAAAAAAAAACATACATTTAATTTTGTTAGATGGATAGTTAAGCATAAATCATTGATTCTGGTCTGTGGGATCAATAAAACAATTTCCAACATATACTACAGCAAAATCAATTTTCCAGTCAGGATTTGCCTACATGCATTGTAATATGGTGACTTCGGTATCTTAATCTAATACTATTTTAACATTGTAATTAATGCGATAATGGGGGTAATGATGATGGTGTGCAGACTATCCACTGGTATCTGGGGAAAGGTGGCTAAAAGAGTCAGAATATTAAGACAAGGTTGACTTTTATTAACCTCCAAATGTCCTTATAGTTGCTGCACACAAACTTGTGTGATTGATTGTTAGTAAAACAAAAAAACAATGGCTACTCTCCAAATTCTCTTAAAAAGGATACAGAGACATGATAACATTTGTATACAAACTGCCTGCATAAACCATTTGTCCAATCGCCTAAAATGCTGCATTTTGGCACTTGGCATAATGCTTTGTGGCAGCTCCAGCAATGTGCGTTGTATTGCACACTGCCAAAGCTGTCACTGTTTAAATTGTTTTCTTTTATTACCTAATTGGTAGTGTTCAATGTGTGGACCACCCATCACACACATATTGTGGTTTGAACAGGGCACATAAAAAACAATGTTTTTCTATATGTCATAGCAGTGACCTGCTTTGATCCGGTGAGGCACAGGTCACCACAGTGTCTGTGAACAGGCCTTAAATCTTGCCCCCACAATTCCCTGTGTTCTGTCTGGCTCAGAAAAGCTGCACTCCCACATCACACAGATTGAGAAAGGGTATGAACTGAGGTGGGAAGAACATTTGTTTTCCTCTGCCTAATGTCTCTCCACCACAACATGCACTTGCTGACTTTCTTTTCCCCCTAATCTATTTCTACTGCTTTCTCTTTCCTCCGTCTCATCTACAATCTGTTCCTGCAAGCTGTACTCTTGTCTGCTGGCTCTCATCGCTGATCCACAATCTGGCCCTGCTGTGTCATTTACTATCGATTCTAAAGTGTACACTTTCCCTTGTACATCATCTCTAATGGTCCAGTCCCTCCCAGCTGGCTGCTTTCTCACACTATCTAAATAGGAAAACGCCTATTGTCCTCCTCTGATCTTCTAATTCCTTTCCTACACATCCTCCACCACCGCCTTCTTAAAGCTTAGGTTAAAGTCCATGCTATGTCAACTTACTCTCTCCCTACATATTTATCAGACAAGTCCTAGGAGTCTTGCATCTATAAGCTTTTTTATATACTTGTCTCCTTGCAGCAAGATGACTTAGTGGTGGATGATTGCTGAGCAGGTTTTGCCTGTAGTGTTGGTGGTGCTGGCAACAATGGTATGGGTGATGTGTGCAATCATTTATTGGCTTTTGAGATAGGACAACTGCCATGGTGAGTATTCTCCAAAAAATAAAAGGTGACATGTGCTACTTGGATTGGTAGCTGGGCCATTTTGGGCCACTGGTCAAAAATGTAGATCCAGTAATCAATGGGGTCATCACCTACTGCAATTGTTAGGACTAAGGATATGTTAAGATTACCTGCAAAAGCTGCTGCAAGGTGCATGTAGTGCATAGGATTTCAGTTTTACTTTCTGTTTCAGAAGCTCGATAAAACTGCCTGCCTGCCTGTGGCATGACATGGCCAGTCTGCTGTCTCTGTGGCATATTATCCTCCTTCTACATCTCCTGCTCAGATGGTAATAACCCTCTTGACCTCCTTTCTGCCTGACCCTTCTGTTTATTGGTTCTTGACCATAAAGATGAATAAGATCTCCGAGCCACTGTTTGTTCCTTACCACTACATGAATGGGTCAGATGTGTCGCTCGCCTATCCCAAACATATTTTAATCAGAGAGTCTAAAAGTAAGCAGTATCTGATATGGAGCATAGACCTTATTTTATCCCCCACATAGTCCTAATTCTGCATGACTGGATCTGGAAATGTCACCCAATAATTATTTGGCAGCTATTTACAATATATGTTCATAAGGCCAGTTTACAGTATTTAATCTGACATATAAAGAGGAGTACTGTTGCATGTTGTACTCTAAACCCATCAGGATATGACTGCAGAATAGCAATGCTGCTCTCTTCAGGCACCAGGTTTAGTGTTATGTTTAAAGTAATTAAATCTGAACTCCAGGTAGGTATACTATACACAAAATGAATGCAGCTTTGTAATCATATAGTAAGTACAGGCATTTTACCTGAAATCAGCCACATGCAGTCTACTGTACAGGAGAGATTAGAGAGGGCAAGGGGGGAAGCAGCACAAGGAGCCAGTTAGATGTCTAAACGCCCAAGCAACATCATTCTGACTGGTGGTGACAGATAAATAACTGGTGTAATAGATAAATAATCTCATCATTGTACTGCTTCTCCTTTCACTATCCCACAAGGAGACTGTAAAAAGGATATCTGTAAGTGAAACTGCAGCAGAGAAAGATCAGTATGCCTCCAATGCCAGGCAGGACTATGCTCTGTAGGAGAGTTGTAACTGGATGGACAGTGTAACCATACAGGTAATTATGAGCAGAGACTAAAGCCTCATTCACACTGCTTAGAGTCGGCCCATACAGATCCTGTCTGCGTTTGAGCACAGAGACCCGCAACCGCACGGATGTGCAGTTCGGGTGAATGTACGGCCGCGTACTCCCATAGGGAAGAAGAGGCTGCTGCGTACGATCACACCCAGCACCTGTCCTTCCCGGGAACGGCCCGATACGGCCATGCACACCGCACGGATCTGTACGGGCCAACTCTAAGTGTGAATGAGGCCTAAAGCCTTTCAACTGGATGAGCAAAGCCTTTTACAACAGAAGGTATTCACATGCAGTGGCGTCACAAGGGGTGTGTGGCCCCACCCTGGTGCCACCATTGGAGGGGTGACACCAAAATGATTGACAGTCATTTTGGCGTCACCCCCTATGAAAAGTCGGGCACTTGGTCACAGGTGTCACTGGGTGTCACCCAGCCTCGGGATGCCCCTGTTCACATATCTGTTATGCCCCATCACCCAGATGCACATCCAGAATTGCTGGTTTAGAGTGAAAATATAGCCCAATATTATACAGCTATTTATTCCAAACTGCATACAGCTGTTTCAAGATTTTTGGCCATCCTCTGTGCAGTGTATGGAAACTCTATGGAATCCTTTGTTAAGTATAACAGCTCTCATATATGTCTTTCATCTGTGTATTTAGTTATGCCTGAAGTTCAATTTTAACAACAAACTCTACAATTTCTAAAAGTGTTCCCTATAAAGTGAATTGCTCACACAGACAAAAGTGTCTATTTAAACAAAGCAAGATGTGAAGGAGATGCCAACGAGGACAAAGACAACAACAACAACAAGCTGCAATAAATCACATCCAGATGTGATATCCAGATAGTACTATAGCAGGGCTTAGATTTTAACTGTGTGTTTAGCAGATTGCCTGGAGTTCAGCTTCCACATATACCTATATATACACACACATTATATCTATATATATATTATACACACATATACACACACACATACACATGCACAGTCTACAGTATCAGCGGTCAAAATTTCAAGTCCTGAGGTACTACCCAGGCCTTAAGAGTTACTCGGCACCAGTTGCCCACCTAACCCCTACTCTGCCCCGGCCTCAATTCCACCCCTAAACACACCCTCTTAAGTTATCTTAAATTGTCTTATGAAATGAGTCACACGTTTTATGCAGAATAAAGTTACAAAAATAAATATGAACAACAACTTTAACAATATTAACAAAACTCTCCAAATAATCGCCTGTTCTCTGCCCCTTCATAACACAAAAAATAATAATCCCTCCATTCCCTGCCCCCCACCACACAAAATAAAACAATGAAGCCCCCTCACCTGCTTGTCTTTCTGCAGGGAGGAGGCACGATCCCTGGAGATCTAGTGGTGATTAGTAAGATCTGCTGCAGTCCTTACTAATATATACTTAATTATATGGCATGTAATCAAAAATAATGTGTCCAAAGACATACATTTATATCTGCTAATGGCAATCTCAAGTGTATGGCAGCAGTTGGCACCATCCAGCTAACCTCCTCTCTGGGATAGCAATCACTGGGATAGGTGTGAGAACCTTGTCCCATAATTATTCATTTTGCAAGATAATTCAGTTTAGCAGTAGTTTACTAGTTTAGTAGTCTTCGTCCTCCTCCCCTCTTTATTTACTGAAACAGGTACTCAAAAATACATTTTATGGGTAAGCCAGTCAAAATACAAGCTTCAGGAGAGTCAGACAGTTTTCACACAATTAATTACCTAATGTAATGAGAACATGATCACAAAAGATGACTACTGATTGCCATGGTTCTGAAAGTTACACAGAGGCAATTTACTAGTGTGCTCATTTGTATGGCAGTGATAACCTGGTGCTTCATTTACTTTGCCCAGCATGCAAAGAAAGATGCTTACAAAGTATTTGTGAAAACTGCTTTCAAGGGACTGACAAATGATTTAGGATTTCTAAAAAGCCTTTGTTTATTTACTTGTAACACAGCTGCTGTGAAAAATGCTATTCACTTCTCTATGCTCGATACATCATAGCTGACTGGTCTGATCCGAACAGATTAGACCATTCCTGGTAATAATCATTAAAACCCAGTTTCCGTGATGCTCTTTTAATGGCTAACTTAAGTTATTAAAAATGCAAGTCTTTGTTCCCTTTGATCCCCTTTTCAGGCTTTACAAATTGTATAAACCCTGAAGAAGGGATCTAAGTCATCCCGAAAGCTTGCATCTTTCATTTAAGTTAGGCAATAAAGAGTATGACTTGAATGCCAAACTTTCTACATCAATGGCCAACATGGCACATGGGGATCTGGGTGAAATCTTCAAGCATGGTAGACATCTCTTGCAACAAATCCTTGAAGTTTCCCTTTCTTGGAAAATAGCCTTTCACTGGGCATATGTAATAGGATTGTCATAGTATATAACAGGACAACAGGAGAATATATAATGGGTTAAATGGGACTCTGATAATGATTATGCAAGAGGTCAAGGTATATCCTTGTTTTTAGATAATCATAACTCTATAGGAAAAGCTTTAACTGCTGACTGGATATAATCATAACAGGAATGCATCCCCAAAAAAATAAATCTAAATATCTGCTTACTGTCCATAATTTTTAAACCCAAACATGATGAATATAAAATGTGTTTCCATTTCCAGTAACAAAAAAAAAAGTTACACCTCCCCCCCTCCAACAAACTTTCTAAGCATTTGAAGAGTGCTTGTTTTTAAATGATAGGTTTAAAACGTTATCTCTAACTCAAATATATGCTTCTACCAATTAAATTATCATTTGCAGTGATGCATTCTTACCTCCAACATCCAAGTCAACCTTGTAATTGATGAAATGCGTGTGAATGGTTCCCAGTGTATGGGGCCCCACTCTGTGACCGTGTTCCACTCCATTTTCCATAAAGAATGATGTACTTATGTATCCTGTTGCATGGACTTTTGACTCTATAGCTCCATTTTGATAGAATACATAATCAAACACATAGTCATAGTTGCCCAGTGTGGCAATAGTTCTTATGACAAGAACAGTGTTAACCAAACCACCATAATAGGAAGAGCCAAGACTTGAGAAGTGACGTCTCAGTGGAATGCCAGAATTTAGTTCAAAGATGCAGATGGACCCTTTGTTCAGTACCGCTGTGTCTGAATCAAGCAAGTAATGGGTGTCTACATAAGTAGCAAAGTAAGGACAGTCAATACCACGAACAAGTTGGTAGGTAGAACGTCCAATGCCAAAGTGTCCATCCATGTACCTTGTTGACATCCCAGTTGGTGCATTGGAACCATAAATACTGATTGCTTCTTGGGCACCAAGCTCATAGACTATTCTTTCACCCCTGAATTTAATATCATATAATCTGAGTCCTGTATTTACATTAACCCCAAATGCGAAACTCCAATGTTGGAATAGCACTTGATTATTTCTTACACTGTAGCGGGCACTTTGTGGTTCATATTGCATTGGTATATCAGCTATTGAAAGTTTTTGGGGCTTCATTGAACCAATGTCATCTTTGAGATGTGGCTTTTGCATCTTAACTGTCTTCAAATTCCCGCTTTTATATTTCTCCTCTAAATCAGAAAGCGTGTCAAAATACTGACCATTATAAAATACTTTATCGACTCTCCACTTTGTTACATCAAGGTGTTTGTGGTTTACCAGTAGCTCTAATCCAACTGGGTGCAGGAAATAGCCACTGCCTTGTGTGTTATAGAAAATACCAAACCAGGTGTTCCGGTCTCCAGATTTTAATCCTCTTGGAGCACTGGTCAAAGCAGAAAAGAATTCATGATCAGACTCGTTATGGCCAAACACTTCCTTGAGGAAACTTTTTGCCTTAGGAAACTCCTTGAGCAGCATATAACGTCTAATCTGCATGTACTCACTGCCAATTACAGGTCTACGGTAATAAGGAAGTTTGTCCTTGTATTTCTTGGCAGTGATATCGTTAATGCTGGTAGGTTTTGGAAGAGGTCCCACTACATACTCTTTAATTACAGGTTCCGCATGGCTTCCAAAATAAACTATTGCCAATGCTTCTCTTCTGGGTTTGGGTCCTCCTTTATCCAAATAAAGTAAGGCATCTTGTTTTTTGGGTGGTAGAAGCTCCACTGAGTATATGCAATTAGAACCAGGTTCGGCTGCGGAGATGTCCACCAGATTCTCTTGGAGAGTTTTCTTTAAGTAGCTTAGGACTTCTATAAGTTCTTCAGGCGTCAGATCCGCAAAGACCAAACTCTTGTCATTGTGTTTTAAAAGCAAAGCTTTTTCATTTTCCAAACTGCAGGATTTTGGTTTTGGATCAAACAAAATGACCAGCACCAAGGCTAAAATTGTTAGAATGGCAAGGATCAAAACGGTTGTTACAACTTTAACATTCATGTTTAGTTGTAGTAAACCAGCTCCTCTGCAGAAGTGAGAACTTCCAGACCTGGCTTGGAATAGAAAGAATTTTGCTAACTCATTCCCAGCCTATTTAACTTGCTGGATAAAAGACAATTGGAAAACTGCTGAAAAGGGAGGGGGAAGGAACTGGATGCTGTAAGAAAAAGAAGATCATCATGTGATTTTATTTTGAAACCTTTCAACTGAAGCTCTCAAAGGACCTCTCATATATCAACACTATATCCTGTTTTTATTTTCCCAAATTCCACAATTTTTAGAGGCGATTACATTTTAGTAAAAAAAAAACCCTCAAAGATGTGCATGCGTCTTTGTTGTTCTATGAATCCTATATTCTTGTATAATTATGATTTTCAAATGAAAAACAAATATAAAAATTGCTATATCATTTTTAAAAAGTCCCTTTAAATATTTTGGTGCCAGCATTTCACAAGAAGCACTAAACCTATACATGTTTGCAGTAAAAGTCTATGGAATTTATCATTTTGTGAAAAACAAAACATGGGTTATCTAGCTTAATTAGTGTGCACATCTTATATCAGTAACACAGCTGTTTGTGTTTTTCTGATATTTTAATGATCTTAGTATTTATTTGAGCAAACTATTATAAGGAATTGTTTGTTTTCAAGAAATGTAACTCACTCAGTCTCCCTGTGTTAGCACACCTTCTACTATTTTGCTTGGATTAAACTGTAAGTACTATTATACTGATAAGCTTTTAAGCATCAACTTCTCCTCTTCATTTATAGGAAGTGCAAAAGCAAGAAAAGATGTGTTTGATGCTATCATGTAATTGTCTCTTATGTTTGCAATGTACACAATTGTTTCTGCAACTATGTGAGTATCAGAGTGATGGGTTATCAGTTAGTTGGGTTTTAATGTTTTGGTTTGATATGCTTTACTTCTTTGTTGATAAAGCAGAAGTGAACAGAGATAAAAAAACAGTGCTCCTAATTATTGTTATAAATGAAAAACATTAGTGCCTTCTTAAAACCAATATATACTGAACAGTGGATGTGCATATCAGGAAAAAAGCAATCTCTTCTAATGAAATGAGTACAGTTGAAACTCGAATAATTAGAATATTGTGCAAAGTTCATTTATTTCACTAATGAAACTTAAAAGGTGAAACTAATATATGAGATAGACTCATTACATGCAAAGCAAGATAATTCAAGCCGTGATTTGTCATAATTGTGATGATTATGGCTTACAGCTCATGAAAACCCCAAGAACCCCAAATCCACAACCTCAAAAAAGTAGATTATTACATGCAATCAATAAAACAAGGATTGTACATAGAACAATATCGGACCTCTGAAAAGTATAAGCATGCATATGTACTCAGTACTTGGTTTGGGCCCCTTTTGCAGCACTTACTGCAATTACTTTTGCACGATATTCTAATTATTTGAGTTTCACCTGTATTACTTTCTGTGTGATTACATTTCCTGTTGCAAGGAAACCAAGGATACTTTGAAGCTCCTAAAAAAAACCCAGGCACCTAGACTAAGAGGGCAGCCGAGTGAATAACCCAGCCGAAGTAAACAGAGCGGAACGCAATTCGGCTATTCACTTCAGCCTTGTACAGCTGATTACATCGGCTGCCTTCAGTCAACTGAACGCACTCTGGATGTTCAGCTGAGTCGAAGTGCAGAAGGACTTTGACTCAGCCGATCCAACATTTGAGCCAAAGCTCCGGCAGCTCGCTCGCTACCGTTTGCCCCTATTCTCATAGGGGCCAAACGGCAGTGAGTGAATAGCAGAATAGCGAACAGACTAGAAAAAATTTAAACAAATGAAAAAAAAAGTTTGAAAATGATTTAAATAAATGTAAAGAAAAAGAATTAAAAACCATGGGGTCCCCCTCCCAAACCAGTAGGAAAGTTAAGAGGGACCCTATTTAAACAAATTAAGAAAAAAAAAAAGTGTGGGGTGGGGTTTCTCCCCCCTCCAAGTTATACCAGGCCCTTAAGGTCTGGTAAACATTTTAAAGGAGGAACCCCACCCCCAAAAAAATTGGGGAAAAAAAAGACTTGGGGTCCCCCTAATATTCAACCAGACCCTTGATCCGAGCACAGGCCTAGCAGGGCAAGAAAGGGGGGGGATGAGCGAGCGCCCCCCCTCTTTGCCATTCCACGCTAAGTGCCCCTGGGTCACCCCTGAAAAAGCACCTCTTCTCCGTGTCAATGGGGACAAGGGCCTCTCCCCCACAAGCCCACAATAAAGGGGCAGCCAGATGCGCCCCCCCATTGCGAATGAGTAAGGGGTACTTGTACCCCTACCCATTCACTAAAGGGTTAAAATAAATGTAATTTAAACTTGTTGTTGGTGTTTAATGACAGATCAGCGTCCTCTGATCTGTCAATACAACTGGACCGAGCGAGCCATGAGATCATGACTGGCTCCTCCCAACTGTCATTTGCATGGAGAACAGTCGGCCTTTCTCCAGGCTTCAGCTGTCATTATGGCTCAGCCGAGCTGAAGCATATGCGTTCAGCTCGGCTGAGCTGCTCAGCTGCCTTCGGCTGCTGTCTGGGCTATTGTGAATAGCCCGGACAGCAGCCCTTCGGATCGACTGAACCGAAGGGCTCAGCTGGCCGAAGAGAACCAAAAGGATCAGTCGAAGCTACGGCTGGATCCTTCGGCTCCATAGTGAATAACCCTGTAAATATTTTGAAGGGTTTGTAGTAAGTAATGTTGTGTCTCATTTCCCAGTTAATTCACTGGTATTAAAAAACAATCCTTTTTGGTTGGTCTAGTTGGGTAAAGAGACACTAAACATGTCAAGACTTAAAATTGCGCACGAGAGCATTACCTGCTTACATAAAATTGGGACTTGCAAAGTATTTTAAAAAGGGATGTTCCCTGGATTGGTTAGTAAGAGAGAGTGACTATCTCTACTCAATCCAGCAATCTAGTAAAAGCGGGATAAAAAGAGAAGCCAAGCCCAGCCCCAAAATAGTAGCAGTCACTACTGTGCCCCCGCAACCTCTCGAGTTACAAACGGAGAGGAGATCTTATGCAGAAGCAGTTCGCATTGGGAGGCCAATTAGACTTCCTGGAGTCGCACCCCATCCCCAACAGATGATGAGGGACCAACGGGGGCCATATAATAACAGTAATGGGAATGAAAGGAGCCCAAGACATAGAAATGATCAGAGGGAATATACCCAGAGGTCAAATAATCAACACCCCAATGCTAACAGAGACCCCAATTTCCTCAGGTACCCTCGCTTTAACAGAAACCCCAACTTTAATAGAGATACAAACTTCAGAAGAAACCATAATTATAATGGAAACCCTGATGGCCATAGATCACCTCCCCATCAGGAGCACATAAGGAGACATGAGGTTCATACAGCTCCCCAAGATCCCAGGGAACGACCAAGGGAAATACCACAGCAGCAGGGCCGGAACAGTGGTTATGAGGCTGAGGTGAAGGTTAATCGATGAATTACAAAGCGCTAAAGGTAATGTGTTACATGTGACTAAAAACCAATAAAGGAGTGCTGTAATATAAGTAAAACGAAAAATCAATGAATGTCAAAATGGACTAATATATTATAAAAGTCTTATAAGACCATCAAAAGGTGTTCCATATATAAAAAGTTCAGTGAACGGTGAACCCCGTGTGCAAGCAAGAATAGCAGAGTATTATTAGATGGTCCTGATTGCCCCTCTCAGGTGGGTACTCACCAGATAGGAGTTGATCAAAAGAAGTTTCTAGTGAGTAATAGCAAAGTTGGACTGGAGCGCCACCGTATTCTCTACGGGTCCCGACAGACGAACACTTGGCTTTTTCCTCTATGGTGCTGGCTGTATCTCTGGGATGAGGAGATCGTTCCTTTCAGCCGCGGTGTTAGCAAAGTGCTTTAGTCGTGGTCCTCCAGAGTTTGAGACAGACAAAGAAGAGAACCTTCATAGCGTGATATGTAAAACCATGAACTTTTATTCAAATACGGTTCAACAAGGCAAAAAAATGTAAGTGTTCGTCTGTCGGGACCCGTAGAGAATACGGTGGCGCTCCAGTCCAACTTTGCTATTACTCACTAGAAACTTCTTTTGATCAACTCCTATCTGGTGAGTACCCACCTGAGAGGGGCAATCCGGACCATCTAATACTCTGCTATTCTTGCTTGCACACGGGGTTCACCGTTCACTGAACTTTTTATATATGGAACACCTTTTGATGGTCTTATAAGACTTTTATAATATATTATTCCATTTTGACATTCGATTGATTTTTCGTTTTACTTATATTACAGCACTCCTTTATTGGTTTTTAGTCACATGTAACACATTACCATATTCATCGATCGAAGTGTTAGTTCCTGCTCAGGTATGGTTTCTAGAGTGTTAATAAGAGCATTGTATGACCCTGGAAGGCTGCATAGCAGTAATGCCACACGTGGTTATCTTTAATTTCCTCTCCAATTGCACTTAGTTGTTCTATGATTTCTAGCATGGCATTCACATGTTCACACATTTTATGGCCTTTTTCCAGCCCCATCTTATATAGCTTGCGTAGCAGATATAGTTTACCGTTTAGGTTTGAACGCTCATGCAGTTTTTGTAATGCAGTCCAAATACTTTTAGCTGTATTCTCTTTTCTTATGTGGATTAGCTGGTTATCTTCCTTTAGCAGACTTATAATTGCTTTTTCTTGCCTGTTCTTGTCCCAATTCTCCTTGGGCCTATTAGTGGGTCTGTCTGTACTCAGTACTTGCCACAAGTCATCTTTGCTTAGCAGCATTTCAAGCTTAAACTTCCATAGCTGGTAGTTGTTGAGCTTTGCAATTGCAAATTTCATATCTGAACAGCTTGCCATATTTCAGTATGCCACTCACAGTGTTCTGTTTAGTGCCTGGACCCGTAACCCGTTGGTTATTTGTTTAGATAAAGTACTGAGATCTTAAGGAATGCTGAATTAAGTTTTACTTGCTTAGAAGAACATTGCATGTATTAATATGGCATTGTGAAGAAAACAGAGAAAAAAAGAAACTTCCAGTGTATCATAGATAAGCATGCACATAGAGACCAACATTGCACTACAGTGCCATCTACAGCTCAAAAGACAAAGTACATATCAGTATATGCTGTTGTATTTCCCAACAATTACAACACAGAGTTTGCTTAGAACAGTGAGTTTGAGAAAAGACATAACATCCGTTACTTCAGGAGAGGTACAAGCAAAAAACCTGAACGCAGCAAACTATCTGTCCTCATTGGCCTGTCTGAATGAGATATTTGTTACCTGACTACTATGCTTACCCACTAGATATATTATACTTTCTGGATCACTGAGCTGGAAAAAGAATAAAGGATATTGGATTTCTGTTTTTTCTTTTGAGTGTTTTGTTAAAACTGAACTCCAGGCAAACAGCTAAATACACAGATGAAATACATATAATGTTGCTCCTTGTGGTCTTCATGGCCACTTTAATACACTATGACATTTCATAGATAATGATAATCATAAACTAGAAATAGAATGGCATTTTGGACGTCAATGGAGATGGGAAGGAAGTAATGAGGGGAAGCAATTATATAACTAACAGCACAGAGTGGATTTTTAATGTAGGCTACAGAATATATACTGCAAAAGGAGTTAATATTATACAGAACAATATTTATGGGAGCAGGGTGCATTATACAATGTAAAGTATGGTGGAATAACCGTAGATGAACAAGTGTAGGGTTACCCCCATAGGAACTGCTGATAGATGGGTCCTTCTGCAGTTTCCCCCAGTGATGACCTGCCCTGGTTGAACCCAACTCACTAAAACACACCTGCTAGCTTAAAATGGGCTTTATTAACATATAAAACCCTGAGGAATGTCTGGTTAAACAGTATAATGCAGCAAATAGTCTTACAAGTAATTTCTGAACATGACATTCCAGAAAGAGACGTTTCAAAATAAACACAATGGTACAACAACAATTACCAACACAAATGCAAATTTAAACATGGCTAAACTAGCTATGTGGCCAGCTATGTGAAAGAAACCCAGATGAAGCCAATGGTCAATGGGACAGTATAGCGTCTGCTGGCATTGGGGCACTGGTTCTAGAATCATGCAAACACAGGTGGCCTCTCATCACAGAAATTGCACAAAGGCCAGGTAAAAGGTCCCGTCCCGCACACTTGGGTCCCCCTCAAAACCAATGTCCATTCGGCAGCAGAACAGTCCTGTGCTGCAGCAGTCTGAAGTCCTGCCCTTAGGATTCCCTCAACACACCTGGGGGAATGTTCTGCTACATGGCTTAAAGGGTTAACAGCCGAGCAGCTGGGCTACTCAAGGGATAAAAAATTTGCTGCAATGGCAATTTACAAAATTTGGACCCATACTTGATCTTGCTCCCAAAACACCTCCATTAATCAACAAGTCAGTATTTTTAAGATTTTTTAAAATCCGATAGGGGATGCTAGTTGGATTTACTTCAAATATCTAAACCTTCTGCACCCTTCTGTACTTGGCAATGTGTCCTAAAAAAAAAGGCAATAGAATAAGACCAGTGGAAATAAAGTGAATTGTTAGGGTTTACATTCACTTAAAAATAATTCTAGGATACGAAGGAGTTGCCATTAATGTGTAATAGGACCACTGCATATACACATTTTGCTGTGAATTAAAATAAACTTTACTGTGAAAAATGCTGACCCAATGGTTTCAACTGACTGACTTTATACTGACTTCAAAGGATGCAAATTTACTTTTGGTCAGCGACAACGTTCTGAAGCAAAGATAGCCAAGCAGCTAGTATTCTAATAATCAAGTCAGCAATAAAAGCATATACATACAGTAAGGCCTAGTTTACATGGGCAGCAAAACCATTTTATTTACTGTCCTTAAAACCTAACACGGAGGCTTCTCAGGTTTGTAGACATGCCTTGGGAAATGTTATACCGTTTGTTGGATTTGGCAGGAGGTGGCCAAATGCAACCATTGCAGTCAATGGGACCACTCTGAAACCATGTGCCAGCATCTTAGTGGTGGTTTCCGGCTTGGTATTGCAATACAAAATTACATTTGGGATAAAAACCCCCCCAAAAAACAGGCATTCAGGATGCAGTAGAATCGCTAAACTCTATAATGCAGGGATTCTTAACCTGGGGTGCTGCACCACAAGGGGGTGTCAGATGGAATTTAAGGGGGTGCGACAGAGCGGGTTATGTCCCTTAATGATGAGTCACCACTCGGCTGGCTGCCAGTGTGCCTTGAGTAAAGGTAGTAGGTGGTTGCGTTGTGTAGATAATAGTCTCATAGTATATTAAATCAAAAGTAGAAAAAAATCATTATAACACAACATTTGACATAATAATTCTAAACATTTTTTGCTTATAAATTCACAATAATGAGTTTGTTACGTATTTCACCCCTTGGGGCCTATGAGCTCACCCATTGCATCTACTCACGCACACCGTGCCTCCTTCTGTCACTTGAATTCAGTTGTCCAATCCCATGCCTATTCTTGCTTTGTCCAGCAAATCACAGGTTTCCCTTGTTGCCACAGACTTCCTCATATATAATGTGAAGGACAGAGAAGCACAGGAGAGACAGGAGGTAATGTTTGTCCCAAGCACACTCCATTCGCCCGAGTCCAGATAGACGTAAACTCCTTTGTGTGCGTGTGTTTCTCCATGTTCTGGTAGCCCAATATACTCATTCACTCATACTAGTGAAGTTTGAGGGTTTTTTTTAACTTTAATTTGTTCACCAGCAGTATTGTATGTGGTTCAAAACTTATAAATGAGACAACTTCATCTTCATATACAATATTACTTTAGTAGGAGGTGCGAACATTAAAACATTTCAAGGGGTGCGGGGCATAGAAAAGGTTGTGGAGCACTGCTATAATGGGGCCGTCCTCTAACATAAGGGTCGTCTATAAACTGTGTAATACCATTATATATGTAAAAAATGTGGGAAATAATATAATACAGTGTCTTCGTAGGATAATATGCTTAGCTTGCAGTAGCTTGAACAATCATAGTTGCTGATATGGCAGCTAAATGTAAACCTCTATCCAAACCAATCCAAAAACTCCTGTAAATACAGCTAGATATGGAACTAAAGATTCTTCCGCATTGTTGAAACATGGAATAGTATACCAGAACCAATTATTTGAGCAGAAAGAAATTCAATGTAAATAAAAAACAAATACTCATGGTATATTAACAAATAGAAAAGTTTACTATGCATACTTTTTTTTATCAATTTTGAAATGCATCTTAGTCCGATAAGTGTTTCTAGGTAGATCATTGATTCGCTAAATGTTCTTAATGTAATAGGCCACAGTTGATCAAGAGAAAGTTCATAAATTAAGTGCATAAAGAAAAATAATTTTTTTTGACAGAGGCCATTTTGATATTTTTCAGGAGCACATACATATTATATATATATATTATTTTTTATTATTATTTATTTAATTTTAATTTTATTTTTTTAGCTTGGTGCAATAGAAGAAAATCAGTGGGGAATTGTGGCGTTGCTTTTACAGTCTAGGTACTCATATCCACTAAATGGTATCTGTTCCATATGGCCAAGGTACGAGCAGTCCAGCGAACCCCTGCAAGCAAAAAAAAGGAAGGTTAATAATTAAGGAAGATCATTTCTTGGAATTGAATAAACGTAAGTTAAAAGGAACATAATGTTGCACTGGCAAAGGCTACTTTTTCTTTGGACAGAATAGAGTGTTAAGTGTGAATGTCATTAGTTACGAGGGGGGGATACATAGCTTTATGATCCCACAGTATAAACAGTGTTTTAGGGAGGTTTCGGAAAAATGGGGATGGGTTGGCAATAAAACATTATGGCTGCATCAAAGTGGCATTAAAACGCCAAATGGGCTTCATAAACATGGTGGATGTTTGTTCATGAACAGAACATGGCCTTTTATACTGCAACATGTAAGCTCCAATAATATGCAATGCTATCAAACCTTGCCATTTGAGTATGGCAGCCAAAATATTACAGTGTCATACATCATATTCTTGTAGCCCCACGTGTGCATTTTGTTGTTAATCCACTGAGCTGTAATAACTATCTTCATATTTACAAGAGCTAAATCTCACCATGACTATGTCATAAGAGATGTATGAAAGCTTCCATTGCAGTCCTCCCTTTAAAATGTTAGCTGTCTAGTTGTGTCTGTCAGTACATTGTAAATGAGCGTCAGAAAAATGGTATACTCATGGTCGTGTCCTTTAAGAGACATCTATTATGGGGCAAATATTTGAGCGAATATAACATCAGGTTTGTTACAGGGTTGTCCTCAACTTCTGTGTGTTGCTGAGCACGTTGCACAACCCAACTAAGCTATCATAATGTACTAGATCCCAACTGCTACTTGGCTAATGTAAAACAAGCACATTTCTGACATGTCCATATAAACATTCACTTGAGCTTTTGCCATTCTACTAGGTTCAGAAAAGAAAAAAGAAAGAAATTAAAAACACATTTCTTTGATATATTTCTAATCAGAATATTTTTTCAGCTATATTTTGGGATAAATATCTGGGGCTCAGCAAATGTTTTAAATGTTGGAAAAAGTGACAAGAAATATTTTTTTTTCCTCATTTTAAATATTTCATCTCAACTAAAACTTTACTAGAAAAATTAAAATATATGTATCCGACACTGCTGCCAAATTGCAGCCCCCTCTGTCATGAAAAACAAAATGTAATGTGGGGGTAAGCTTTAAACACTAATACAACCAAAGCATCTCAAGTGGTTAATGGTCTTGATACAATAGTGCCATCTAGAGGACATTTTATATATTGTTCTTTTTGTTTTCACTATAATTTGAATCTGTGACAAACCCTTCTTTTTTTGTACATATCCACTTTATTGACAGTTCTGTTCTGTTAAATAAATGGTTATTATGTATATGGATTAGAAGGTTTTAGTATTTTTAGCTTCTTGTGCGTCTTCATCCTACAAATTCTGATTCATTTTTTCAGTTTTTCCACATTGCATTAACTCTTTTATTCAGTGTTTTTTATGTTGATTATGGCCAACCCTCAGCACTCCTCTCCTGCACAAGCTGTCCATCCTCTTACCCTCTTTATTCCTCTACTGCACATACTGGCAACTGTCATACCATCCATATTCTTTTCTTGCACATACTGCCCATCACCTTGCCCTCTGGCGCGTCTGTCTTGCCCATACTGCCTGTTATTTTAACCTCAACACTCCTCTTCTGTACAAACTGGCTCCTGCTCATACTGGCTCTTGGTATACACTCTGAACACATCTCCACCAATTGCTGGCAACCATCATACCCTTCCCACTTCTTTTTTTCTCCCTCATATCATGTGGCACTGCATTTCTGCATATACATACCCTGCAAACCCCTCTTGAATGCATTGGCTGTTGCCATACAGTAAGTACTCTTCATCTGTGCATGCTGTCCACTCTCATACATTCAGCAATCCTTTGCTGCATATATTGCCCACTCCATCATTCCCAGTACTCTTTTCCTGCACATACTGACCCCTCTGATACTCACAGAAGTCCTCTCTTGCACATACTGCCTCCTCTCATACCTTCAGTAATCTTCTAATGCACATGCTGCCCCTTATTGCCCTCTGCATTCTTCTCCTGCACATACCATATCATTTGCATCCCTCTCCTGCACTATTTGATCTTTCTCATACCCTCTTCATCAATAATAATCTCCTGCACATAGTGCCACTCCCTATTATGCTTTGCACTCCCATACTGCACATACTTCCGCTTCCATTAGCCTATACTGCACATGCTTCCCCTTCCATTATCCTATACTGCACATACTGCCCCCTCGCATACTCTCCAGTACTCTTCTACTGCACATACTACCCTCTTCATTATCCTCTGCATTCCTCTCCTGCACACTCTGCCCCCTCTCATACTTTCAAAAAACCTCTATTGCGCATACTGCCCTCGCCATTATTCTTTTTGCTCCCCTCCTGCACAATCTGCACTCACATATTGACCCCTCCATTACCCTCAGCACTCCCCTACTGCACACACTTCCCCCACCATCATCCTCTGCACTCTTCTACTGCATATACTGAAACCACTCCTCTCCTGCACAATCTGCCTGCAATCATACCCATCCCTTATCAATCCTCTACTACACATACTGCCTGCTCCATTATCATATGCACTCCTCTCCTGCACAAATCTGTCCACATACACTTAGCAATTCTCTACTGCACCTAATGACCCCTCCACTATCTTCTAGACATGTCAATTTTGCTTCATTCCGAATTGGATATTTGTACGCATTTATTATTCACGTCCGAGTGCGAACAAATCCGGATGCATATTTAAGGAAAAATCAGATCCATCCGAATGCCATTCAAAATTAAAAAAATCGGACATGTGACCATTCTCTGGCCAAATCAGATTTTTTTTTTCATCTGTTGGGAGTTATATTACAGGCCTGGTCATGTGACTTCATATTGTGAAGCAGAGTGTCGATAAGAGCAGTAGGAGAGCACACATAGCAGAGCTAAAATAACCCGTTAATTTATAATTAAAGAACCCCATCCTAATAGATCCAAAATAAAGATTCTAATCGTTCCCAAACGAAAATTCGGATGGATCCGAAATCTGAATAACAAACTGAATTGAATTTTGGATCCGAAATCCGAAAAATTTAAGTAATATAAATCCAAATCAATCCACAACAAAAGACATTTTTCGCAGGGTTACGTGTCTATTATCTTCGGCACTCCTCCACTGCGCATACTGATCCCTTCATTATTCTTAGCACTCCTTTCCTGCACACACTGCCGCCTCTGTTATCATCAGCACTCCTTTTCTGCACATGCCTCCCCCTCTCATCCCTTCCTGTGCACAGTTGCCACTAAAACACTTCAGTATTGTTTTTAATATTCCCAACCTTATCCTTTTTGGAATGGGCTCATTTGTGCTACTACATTTATAACTTCTTATTAAAGATTTCGCGGGACCTTATGTTGCTCTAACATTTTTTTTGTCATTACTATCCAAGTTGACCATGTACTTACAATATGGTTTTGCATCTTTTCTATGAACACAGTGGTCTACTGAGAATTTGAAATTCGAATGTGATTTATTATTGTCGTATGCAACATACCTCAATTCCTACAACACTATTCTAAATATAAAATACACTGTACCAGCACTAACCTTGTTAATTTACTGCATAAATACTATAATATATACTATAATACATAATATACTTACTGTACATGAAGCAAAATGTTGTGAACTTTGATCTGTTCCCAGGTACAGACCTTACTGAAACAAAAAAAAGGTAGATTTGAACTGTTAAAGTCAATTTTAAATATTTATAAAACTCAAATCCTATATGTTAATTGTAGGAAGAATGATGCAATATTGATCAGAATGAGTGCATACATTTGAGAGAGAAAAGGAAATAAAATGCATCTTTCAGCCCATGATCATTCCTAATTTAATTTTTAAAAAGACAGGAGCGTAATTTTTTACTAAGAAGTCCACTAACAAAAAATTAAGACTGCTTCCAATGTGAGTCATGAAAGTGTACATCATATACATCATTACTGCACCTCTACATTACCACAATAAATGCTAATCCCTAACAAAGGTGGAAATGGACTTTAAAGCTAAACTCCAAGCACACAATATAACCAACAAGAAATGCCTGAATGCTGCTTGGTGCTACACTTGCTAAACTAATCTATCCAGTACTCTTATTTTCAGAAGTAATTTATATCTTTTATAGATATGCAGCAGAAATGCCTGAACACACATGAAATAAAGTCACTGATTTTCTGCACACATAGATATCCAAATATATAAGAGAAACCTGTGAGATTTATCCACATCACCAGTGAGATCTGCACCCAACAAACTCAGCTCACTCCCCTTTATCCATGTTACCACTTAGCTCTGCTTGCAGCACACTCCCAACATCTATTTTTTTAGGGAGATCTGCACCCAGCAAGCTCAGCTCACTCCCCTTTATCCATGTCACCGGTGACATTTGCACCACACAGCCCACTCCCCTTTATACATTTCACCAGTGAGATCTGCACCCAACACACACAACTCTTTCTCACTTATCCTTGTCACCAGTGAGCTATACACTGATTACACTCAACTCATTGTGCCTTATTCCCGGTCATCAGTGAGCTCTGCACTGAACACACACAGCTCACTCCCCTTTATCTATTTCACCAGTAAGATCTGCACCCAACACACAGCGCTCACTCCCCTTTATCCACGTTACCAGTGAGATCTGCACCCAACACACACAGCTCACTCGCCTTTATCCACGTCACAAGTGAGATCTGTACCCAACACACAGCCCACTCCCCTTTATCCATGTCTCCAGTGGGATCTACACCTAAGACACACAACTCACTCCCCTTCATCAACATCACCAGTCAGATCTGCACCCAACACACACACAATTCACTCCACTTTCTCCCTGTCACCAGTGAGCTCTGTGCAAAGCACACTCCTCAGCATATATTTCTCCAGTGAAATGTGCACCCAACACCCACAGCCCACTCCCCTTTATCCATTTCACCAGAGAGATCTGCACCCAGCACACTCCCCTTTACCCACGTCACTAGTAAGATCTGCACCCAACACAACATAGTAGAAAGTCACTTGCACTCCAATAAGATTTTCTGTCAATGTTCTTTATTGACAAGAGATATGTCACATTGTATAGCGACATTTTGAAACCGTATAGGTCCTTTCTTCAGGCAAAGTGTAGCAATCAACCAAAAGTGCAGGTATATATACAGCAGAGGGAGAAAAAAAAATAACATCAGAACTTCCCCTTCAGACATCATAGTGATGTCACATTCCCGCCATTATGCATAAATAATGCTTAGATACTGATTGTGTACAATTGTGTGGGTAAAAATACCTTTAACATATCTGTGAGTCTGTCACTAAGTATTCTTGTAAACAGCCATGCTCCCAACCTACACAACTCACTCCCCCTTATCTATATCACCAGTGAGATTTGCACCCAACACACAGCTCACTCCTCTTTATCCACATCAACAATGAGATCTGCACCCAACACACAGCTCACTCCTCTTTATCCACATCAACAATGAGATCTGCACCCAGCACTAAACAATAATTGTATTGGTTTACCAAAAAATCTATAGGATAAGCTAGATTGTACCTACATTTGGAGAAATTGATGTACACATGGACAATAGAAAAATGTCACCAGCACACCATAAGTTGAAAAAGCAAAATATTTTATTGCCATTAGCTGCATCTCATTGGCCAATGAGATACAGCTATTGGCAATAAAATATTTTGTTTTTTCAACTTATGGTGTGCTAGTGAAATTTTTCTATTGTTCATGTGTGGCGGTGCCATCCGCAGTCATTTCGAGCACCCATCTTCATCAAGTGGGAATCCCGGTAAGGAGTGCGATATGGTTCCTGTTTGTGTTTATTGATGTACACATAACACAACATGCAATATTAAAAACATCGTAAACAAAGCAACTATATGGCAGATGAGGTTCAGTACTGAAAAATGTAAATATATGCATTTGGGTGCAGAAGGAGCTCCTCTGGGGAAAATCAGAGATGGAAAAAGAGTGGAGGTTCTAGTAGACTAAAGACAATAGTATGCAATGCCAAGCTGCAGCTAACGAACATAGCAAACTACCATCATGGATAAAAATGGTATTTACTCTAAAGACAAATCCATAATTCTGTCACTTTACAAAACTCTGGTTCAGTCTCATCTTGAATATGCGTTTCAGTTTTGGTCTCCGATCACAGGAAGTATGTCCTTGAATTTGAGAGAGTCCAGAGGATGGCAATAAAATTAATAAGGGGACATAAGCTATGAGGAAATATTACAAAAACGAACCCTATTCACTCTGTAAAAGAGGCATTAAGGAGAAGATATGATTGCAAGGTACAAATTGTTTAATGACGATGGTAGAATCAGTAAGAAATAGTTTACTCTGAGAACCCTAAAGAAGACAAGAGGCCACCACATGAGATTGGAGGAAAAGAGTCTTCAGCTGCTTATGGGGATTCTTTACTGTTACAACCGTAAAATTGTGGAACTCTCTTCCCCAGGTAATGGTTTCAGCTGAGAGTACAGACTCATTTAAAAAACATTTAGATTTCTTTCTCAGTGAATAAACTATACAGGGGTATGGGAATTCTTGCTAACCCCTAAAACATACACTCACACACAGGTTGAACTGGATGAATCTGTGTCTTTGTTTAACTATGTAACCGAGAAATAAACTCATAACCGCACATTTTAAGTCTTCCTCGTGCCATCGAAAACTACAAAAACAAGTTGAGCTACAGTTTGAATTTTGTACAAGAATGTAAAATTTGTAGCCACTTCTCCTTTACTATTCAGCCATGAAAATTCAGAAAGAAAAAAAACACATGCAGTACCTCTCTGTGAGGGCCCGTTCACACCATATGCGTTTGGGCTGTGCTTGTCTTTTTTCCAGCAATTTGCCTTGTCATGAGTGGACACAGTTCCCACCACAGCATTGCGGTGGTGTGCGCTTAAAGTACGGCATGCAGTACGGTTTTTTAAGTGCACCGCAGTAAGACGCAGTGCAATCGCATTGCACCACTTGTGACATTTGAATAATGTTCTAAAAAAAAAAAAAGAAGAAACAGTGCAATTCAGCTCGATTGAGTGCACTGTCCGGGCACGGGCACACGCACACCAGCAGCCATGTGGTTGCTGGTGTGAAAAAGCCCTAATACATGCACATTCCTTTATGTTTATTCTTTGAAGGACTCCAAGTATAGAAAAATACCTGTTGTGACAGAAATACACTATACTGTTTATTTTCTGTTGTGGGCTGACAATACATTTCTGGCGTTATGCTTTCAATGGTATATGCCACGAACCAAAATGGAGCTAATAAGAGAAGTTCATTGTTAGGTTTTACATATACTTTAAATCCAACCTGAATTAATGCCAACATTCAAAATGGCCCTTTCAGTGAATGGCCACACATTTTCTAGCCATTTCAAAAATTTAATTCTGAACTATTTTTTTTAAAAAGCTCCCATGATTTTTGTGCCTCTGCTGGTTTAATAATAGCTGTGAAGGAGAGCACAGCAATCACCTACTTATTAGCGACTCCTGGCAATGTCCCAAAACTCACTTTAACAGTGTTATGTTGCAGAACATGCAAAGGGTAGTAAAGCGTGTTGATGTAGGTGTGTGTTGACCATAGCATGCGAGTTCCTTGTCATTAGAGTCATTTATCTAATTTGTTTATCTGGTTTCCTGGGTTTCTCCACATGTTGCTGTGAAAATATGTTACAGTATTTATGGAGCAAAGTTGCATTTTTAAGATTTAACTCCTGAATTTAGTGTCACTTTAAAGTGACTTCCTTATCTTACCTTTACACGTGGGTATTTTTGAGGCAATTCAGCCATTCAATACAGATGGAATGGTTTAAAGTTGAACTGCAAGAAAAATACATTTTTCTCATAAACAGCACAAGTTACCTATAATTAAACGATCCTCGTGGCCCCTGGTTACACAAACATCATCAGGTCCTACACACAGTACTATACTTCCGATGCTGCAGGGATGAAAAGCGGCAGCAGTGAGGGGCTACAGTGATATACCTGCCCCCTCCTCGTCTTGTCCATTTTCAAAAAGTCTCTTTTTTTTTTATTTTTTTACAGAATACAAAGCCATCTGTGAATTGACAAGGAGAGATCAGGAGCAAGTATATGACTGGAGCTCTTCACTGTCATAGCTGCAGCACTTCATCCGCACAGTGCTGGAAATACAGTGCTGGAAATACAGTGCTGTGTGTTGGTTCCAATATCATAGCAGCTATGAGTTTTCAGCAGTCATTTGGACCTAGGATAGTTTTAATTAGAGGCAACCTATTTAACTTGTGGTGTTTACAAAAACAAATCCTGAAGTTTATCTTTAAAGCTGAACTCCAGGGAAAACAAAAATATTTACTTTTGTAGTGGGAATATATCCATCATAAAAGTCTCCATGCATTAACAGGCCAGCCTGGTGCACCAAGAGAGCTGCTAGTGACATACACTGCAGCAGTGCCCACACGCTGACCAGGACCACTGGTGCATGTGGGCAGAAAGCCAAATTTTCCAAAACAAAGCTAGTGGTAGGGGTGGGGGCAAACCAAAGGTATTTCACACAAAAAAAACCTTGTGGAAATTTTTTTTTAAGGGCCAGTACCCATGGAGACCAGAGGTACCCAGGGAAAAGGGGAGATATGAGCAGAAACTTCCCCACAAGCAGCATTAGACATGCAAAGAAGGAAGGGGAAAATGTCCATGGATATTTGGCTTTGCTTAGTTCAAACAAGCATACCCCCAAGGTGTCTTCAGGGATGGGGTTACTCCAGTACACCACTGCCCTGCACCCATACATCACCATGAGCTGAACCCAACGCACTGCACAATGTGCCAAGGTGGGTGTCTGATACAGGATCGATCTAGTGCCCAAAGCTACATTACAGGCCAGCCCCACATCTTTAGACATGTAGGATCCCAAAGCAGTTGCAGTGGGGCACCAATCTGGAAGCTGTGGAGGTTGCCACTATGGTCATATGCAGCCATAGGAAGACACTCGATTGAAGCATTATGTAAAAAAAAAAGAGATAATTAAATTACATGTGACATCAGCAGAAAGGAAACTGAGGATTTGCTGGAGTGGGAGGGGTGACATGAGACTTCCCGACTCTCATGCGTGAACACCTGTTGGATTAAAGGTCTGTTCTCTTATTTCCACCGGCTGTTAAAACAAATGTTCCAGTACCCAGAACCAGGACAAGGACTGGGTTTGCTGGACCCTGGAATTTAGTTAAAATCCTAGGACGTTACCAAAGAAAGAAAATTGGGAGAGTTGGCAGGTTGTGGTGTAAGCGTAGTGTTTTAGTATATAGAATTTGATAAAGATAGTCAAGCTAATGAGGCTACAACAGCCACACATATAAACAAGTCCCTATTTTTTTTAAACTGAGTACACTGTACACGTATTTACGACAAAATCTTTAATAGCAAAGACCAAAATGTCATGCTAACTGCAAAGTTTTATTTCTGTTATGCGTCTTTTTAAGAGTTCTTGCAAAATATTCATGTTTGCAACTCACTGCACATATTTTTCAACATTTTGCATACTTTTTCAACTGTGCGGTATTTGTGCCCAGTATTTGCAACATTAAAAAGACCTCCAAACTGTCTCACATCCTAGAAATGCTCCCGAGTACTTTCTTAAAGTATCTAAAAGACAATTCATCTTCACATCCTCAAGCCAGCGGAGCACTTTGGGACTATTCAGCTGTCCTCCAGGAGGTTTCCAACAAGCTTGCCTCCCTGCTTCCTGATTGGCTGGGAAGCCTGCTCCATGCTGATTGGCTGGAAAGTCAGCTTCCCAGACAATCAGCAAGGGGACAGCTGGTCAGCTAATCAGGAAGCCGGGAAGTGGGTTGTTACTTGCCACCCAGCTTCCCGATTGCCCGGGAAGCCGGCTCAATGCCAATCACAATCGAGCTGGCCAAAGAACATGGAGGAGCTGCCTTCCCGGGCCATCAGGAAGCCGGGCGGCTTGTCATTACATGTTCTCCTATGGCACTGCCGATCAGAGGAAATCTTCCTCTGACTGCAAGTTCCGGTATCGGGGAAGGTATCAGAGCATTTGGGCGAGTAGGAGTACTCACCCAAATACTCAGTATCTGCACCGATACTAGTATCGGCGCATCCCTAATTAAAACCAATAAGACTTTCCACTAGGAATTATCATTCTCCTTTTAAATGATAGTTTTCTGAAAATTTGTGCAACTGATGTGTTAAAAATATTCCTTTTTTTAAATTATTATAAAATGTTATCATCATATTATGTTTATGGATAGCATTAGGGCTATAAGAGTTAATCTATGCCATTTTTTGGGACATGTGTTCTCTAGAAAACATTATCAAAGTATGGTAAATTATTTCAAAGCGTGTCAGTATATGTCTGTGCAATAATTTAGCTCATAGTATGTGTCAACATTAGGGATTTGCACGGGTTTAGTGCAAATGGAGTTCATGCAAGCCTGCACAAAACTGTCAGTGACAGCGACCCAATCAGCTGCATCCGAGGCATTCTCTGCCCCTACACATAACAAAGTCCCCAGCCGTAAGTGAATGGGCCAGGAGGGGGACCCATCACTGACAGTTTTTCATTGGCTCAGAACAATTCTGCACCAAGCCCATAAACATTACTTGTCAACATAAAAGCAATCCCTTTACATAAGTTTACCACATGCTCCGCACACCTAATCTTCTTCAGGGCCAAAGACTTCAAAGTCACTGCTACATGCAGAAACCAATCACTGCAAAATGGGTGTAGACAGGTGGTTATAAACCCACTTGAGTCACTCCTTTGCCCTACAGTATTGTTTTAGTGACCTACCCTCTTCTATTCATGTACTATGGGAGGGCAGCTCACAAACCTATCTGTGCAGCGTCACATAGATTTGGCTTCCAAAGAGCATGTCAAGCCAAATTTTGGGTGCCAATGAGCATGCTGTCAGCACAAACCAGTAGAGTCAGCTGACGCATATATGCAGCAACTTGGCATTTAGGCCCATCTGTGTGAACAAGTTAAGGTGAGATTTAAATACATCTCAATATATTTCAGTACAGACACAAAATTTGAGTAGCTAAATGTAGAAGACGAAGTGATTTGGAAGTGACTAAAGTTGACCGCAATACATTTCATTTTTTTTAGCCATGTAAATTTCGTTCGCAATGCAAATTCGGACGAAATGTTGTGAATTCGGTCATTTGGATAAATCTGAATGTCCGAATTACAAAGAGGCCGAATGCAAACAAATATGAATGTTCTTTGAACAAAATTTTGGATCATCCGAATTTCAAAACTAAACTAAAAAGCGGACACACATTGTTTTTTTGGCCAATCAGAATAACCCGTCCGAAACAAACTGGACTCTACTGGCTGTACTATTGTAGCATTTAGCAAATGTCCATCTATCCCAGTCAGTTAACTATGACTTGTAACCATTGTTGTATTTTGCAGATCTAACTTATCCATGTTTCAAATATGATGTTATTTTTGAGACATTTTGCTTTGACTGATAATGGAAGTAGGTTTAGATTTAGTTAGATTTAAATTGTTAGATTACAAAATTGCAAACATTGCTTTTATAACCAACACACCTCTATCGCCAATAAACCAAATATGACTCACCTTGGAGTACCTCAATCTTACACCCATTTTTAATTTTCATGTTATCGCTATTTTGTCTAACCCTCATTTGTATTCTTTTAACGTCATATTATATTCACAATAATTATCCAATCTCTTTTTGTGACTTACAATGTGTTTGGGTCCTGGATTGTACTCTTCACGGTATAAAATATCTGTTTGGAAAAACAATAAATGTCAATTTATGATAACAGAGAAACAAACTCAATTAACAGTTTATTTCAAGACACAAAAACCTGTAATGGCATCGAAAAGAGTGAAAATGTTCTATGTGTGAATGGCTACTGGGGATGCTAAAAACCTTTGTTGTATTCATGCTAGGTACTACTGCCAGCTTTGATCTTTTGGATCTTGTACAGTGAAGAAGATAGCCACTCGCTCTGCCTCTTCCTTCCCTCTCATCCATTGATAATCAGCATTATTTTCATAGAAATACATATGGTGTTCTGTGATTGGACAAGGGGAGAAGAGGGGTGAACAATAGCACTGCCCCTTGTCCAATCACAGAATTCCCCCACTTTTCATGCCTATATTTGGCCAGTGAGCTTATGCAAGCTAACAAGCAGTATGTCCTTACTATCTTGATTTCCTTTACATCCATTCTTCTCTCCCAGATAATTTAATTTTTTATCTTCTTCGATGTTCTTCAAAAAACATAGATTTATTATGATTTTCTTTTTAAATTCCCATGATTTAGTAGCACAAACAGCATAAATTATTATGGGTAGCTCCATAGCCCTAGCTACTAAAGCTATATGCCAAATCCTCCCCTCTAAAAGAAGTAGAATGCAATTTGCTGGAGGACTATAGCTGTGTAACATATATTTGAGAGCATATATATAAAAAAAAAAGGTTATCCTGGACCAAGCACTGTTGCAAGAGCTAGGTAAGAACACGAATACCTAAATTCAGGCGAAATAGCTGGATAATTCTATGAAGATGAAGTCATTGAAAGCATGTAGATAGATCCTCAAAACTGGTATTCCCCTATAAGCACACACAATTTCTCTTTTCACTGCTTATTGGTAAAGTGACAGCATTTAAAACCTGTGTGTGTGTGCGTACCTGTGACTTTAAGGGAGGTTGGGCTTCCTCCTGACAAACCTGCACCCAATTTGATCTTTTGCCACATGTGCTCCAAGATTGAGATTCTCATAGTTTAGAGTTAGGACCGCACTATATAGGAGGTGCCTTGGCGGGGCTGTGCGGCTTTCACATTTTCAGCAGAAGACGTGTATCTAAACCTCTGTTTTTAACCTTAGCGGTGAGACAAGTTTTTTTGCATGCTGGCTGGCGAGTGTGCTGGGAAAACTTTTGCTATTAGAGTTTAAACCTAACGCAATCCAAACTTTTTGCATTTAACAGAGTGGGGAGGTTAGACTCTAAGATATTTTATGGTATTCTTAAAGTGACACTAAACTCAGGAGTTAAATCTCAAACGCATTAAAGTACCTTAACTTTTAACAAAAATGTATCTTATTTGTGTATCACTCGGCTGTAGTTCCTCAAATCATCTCTGAATTGGCGCCGACATTGTCCTTCCTTCTGGAGGGTAGCTCCAGAAGGAAGGACAGGTACTTTTGTTTCGCCATGGTTTCTGTGTGTGTTGTAAAGTAGACACCACTCCAAGCTCGCTCCCGTGCTGGACTACAATCTCAATAAAAATTACCAAACTAAACATGAGCTTGTAGTCCATCACGGGAATGAGCTTGGAGCGGTGGCTACTTTATAACACACACATGGACCATGGGGAACCAAAGTAGCCACCCTCCAGAAGGAGGGACAGTGTCAGCATGAATTCAGAGATGATTTCAGGATGCACAAATAAGCTACATTTTTGTTAATAGTTGAGGTACTTGAACGCATTTTTAAGATTTAACTCCTGAGTATACTGTCACCTTAATTGGGAAAATGTTCTCTGACTTCCTGTTGTGATCATAGGGGGTCAGGGAGACAAAGTTTAAGAGGAATTTTCCCTGTGGGGAAAGTAACAAAAACAAATTTTTTATCAGAGTGGGAAAGGGTTAGAATGCATGTCAGGTTTTTATTTCTGCCAGTATCTTAATGTCCAGGACACCTGTTCCCCTCTTTTTTGGTTCTGGTGTCACTCAGAAACATGGTGGGGTTACATCTCTTCATGGGTTCACTGACTACAATAAAAAACAGGTAAAAGTTCTATCCTATCCCTTCTAAAGTTTTGACGAAAGATGTGCTTAGAGACGGGCTTTAAATATGTCAGACTAATAGCAGTGGAAATATTTACCTGGTCATTTACCAGTGGACCAACCGTTTTAACTTCTTTAAGGCTGAGCGTTCCGACTACAACAGACATGTGTAGAACCTCAACATTAAGGCTCAGAAGTTTTATCCCAAACAGGTTGCTATTACTTATATTCAATTTATTCTGTAAAAAAAAAAATACAAAAATATTACAATATGTTTTGTATGCAAATTGCTTATTTAAAGAGACACCGTCATCTTTCCCATACAGTGCAAAGTGCCAGTGAATTTATAAGGGGCCAAGCCCCAGCTATACTCACCTTAACAGCGCACCCTTGCAGCTCCTGCCTCCGCTACAGGTGGCACTAAAATCCAAAGTGTCGCCTGGTGTTGGAGGCTAGGTGGAGCTGTCCTTTTAATCAACTCATTTTTCTTTAACCACTTGAAGTCCGCAGTGTTTACACTCCCTTCCCTTTCAGGCCACATTTCAGTATTTGCAATTAAAATTGCGTGCACGCGTGAAACCTCAAAAAGCTACAACACCAGAAATTGGCCGTAGGCGACACTTTAAAAGCTTTTACCGCTCATCAGTTTAGTGTTATCAGTGATTGATGGCCCTAAAATATTGCTCTCACTGCGATGTTTGCGGCGCTATGTAACATGTGTAGCGCAATTGTCGTTTTCATGCGCTGGCACATCTGACGCATATTTACATTTATAAATTATTATTTTTTAACATGCGACTTTTTTTTTTACTTTTTTTTTCATTGATATTCATTTTTTTTGTACACTTATTGTTATGGCTATTACATAGGGGGATAAAAATCTCCCTATATAATACAAAGGCCCACTGACAGGTCCTCTTTATGGAGACATTAGGGGTCTCCAAGACCACTGTTACCTGGGGACCCCAAAAGTGGCAGCACTCGATGGTGGGCGAATAACACACCATACAACTGATCTGCGGCTATAGAGCGCTGATCGGTTGTATGTGAAACAGCCGGCAACGGCTGTAAAGAACGGGCGCATTTTTCCTACCCGGGGTCGCCCGCAAGCAGGAAAAGAATGCCGTCTGGAGACGGCAACCCGCAAATGGGAGTCTGCCGTCCGTCCATTTTTTCTCAACAGCCATTTTTTCTCAACAGGTGGATGGCAGGAGGTTAAACAACTAATTTGGTGAACGCTAAAACTCTTTCCCTGATATCTGCATTTAAGAAAACAGAAAATGTACTTTCAAAGTTAATGAAAGAGGCTCCAAAAGTTAGTTAGTAAACAAGGTAATGATCATCCAATCACGTGCAAGCAAAAATGAAGGTTTTTTCTTTTCTTTAATCTTGAACATGATTGGAAATTCTTTGCAAAGTGAATTTTCCCCATATTCACTAAGCTAAGGGAAAATTCCCTTAAAGGGAAAATTCCTTTGCAAAGTGAACAGCCTATTTGCCTTTAGTAAATCATTCCCAACAGCTGAAGTTTACGACTCCCTAAACACACTGGGGAAACAGTCTCCCACAGCCAGTTAAATAGCATCAAGCTTACCATAAGATCCATGTCTTAGATTGATTCAATTGAGGGAATTTGAAACCATTGGTTAAATAGGAAGAGGATTTAGTACGATTGCCCTTAGATGACCTACCCTGGTCCAAACACTCCCTGCCCTACCACCAGAGGCGGCTCTAGAGTTTGCGAGGCCTTAGGCGAAACCTAAACATGAGGCCCCGCTCAGGCCTGTGGGGTCTCACCAGGGCTGTGTGGGGTCTCACCAGGGTTCTGTTGGGTTTAACTAGGCTGGTGAGACCCCACAGAGCCCCAGTAAGACCCCCGGTAAGACCCCACAGAGCCCCGAATAACCCAGGTCTCTGTAGGGTCTCACCAGGGCTCTGTGGGGGTCTAACCAGCCTTGTTAGACCCCACAGACAGCTGGTGAGACCCCACAGAGCCCTGGTTAAACCGGGGCTACCTAGGGTCTCCACAGGACTCTCTAGGGTCACAGGGCTCTCACCATTGCTGTAGCCTGTGAAGGCTGCCTCTCACCAGGACTGTGCAGGGAGCGTCTCACGGGTGGAAGCGTCTCACGGGCGGGAGCGTTCAGGACGAGCCGTTGCTGACGTCTGCCCCTGACGATCCACCCTCCCAGCCAGATTTAACTCCGCCCTCCCAGCCAGATTCAACTCCGCCTCCTCCCAGCCAGATTGGGATCCTCGCACGGTGGATGGGAGGGGTGAGATGGCTTCCGAGTGGCTGGTGGGCGGAGCTTCAGAAGACCACTAGCCGAATGGACGGACCGAGGAAACAGATAAGCTCTCAGACCTGTCGCTGTCAAACGGAGAGCCTCCGTTTGACAGTGACAGGGCTAAGAGCTCACGACGTTACCTAGCTGTGGGGTAATGTGACGGCAGGGCAAATTAGGCGGTCGCGAGGCCCTCGGGAGCGCGAGGCCTAAGGCGATCGCCTAATTTGCCTAATTAAAGAGCCGCCTCTGCCTACCACATCATGAACCATCCACTTTTCAGCTCAAACAATCATGAAAACAAAAACTGGTAGTCAATACAGTTTCAACCATTTCCCATACATATGTAAATGATAAACAGAATTGAACACCTCTTTCACACAATACCAAAAAAGACACTATTATTTACCCATAAATCCTCTATTTCAAACAAGTGCCAGGAGACCAGTTTCAAAAATATTGTCAAAGTGGTACAGAGCTCCAGTGACAATACATTATGAGCAGGGTATTGTTTCCACTTCTTTTAAGAGCTGCCACAAATTTCAAGGATATTGGACATAGGTGAGGATAACACTGCAAAATACTTCTTTATCACTTAAGAGATATAAAAACTCCTTGTTAATCTGTTTTTGGTCAATGCAGCTAGGGTATGCATACAAGTAAAGTTAAAGCAGAGCACATCACCTGTCATAAGCTAAAGGTTTGTCCATGTCACCAAAATTATGCATATGAAATAACTTAATTGTCCCTTCACATTGCTTTCACCAACTCACATAATTCAGTTATACTGCACCTTCTCCAGATGCTGAGCTCCCAAAAGGTTCAGGTTCTGCCTCTGGGCTGCATGTTTTAAACTGGTGTGATCATGTAACGTGCTCCCATGACACTGGTTTTGAAGAACATTCTGGGTTTTACTAATGAGCAAGGCAGTAGCTTCACCCTTGAAAACTCTATACAAAACAATGCATAGCAGTAAGGCAGAAGAAGTCCCCTTTTATTAAAGGAGAACTATGAGGTGAGTGCTTTTCACTCACCTCATAGTTCTAGCCGACCTGTGACAATGAGACTGTCACAGGTCCGCTCAGTAGATCGGGAGGTGAGCGAACACATACCAGCGTTCGCTCACCTCTCGATCCTGTCACGGCTCTCTGCCGTGACAGGGGAGGGGCTGGATTCCCCCCTCCCCGCTCCGATTTGTCAGCGGAACATGAAACTATATTAAAGAAAATATATACAAATATATTTTATATTGCCTTTAAGTCCCGCAAAGTACTGCACTTTATCCTGCATCGTTTCTCAGAATATTCCATCATAAAAAGAACAGATATTCTTAACTTACTGTGGTTACAAAGTTCACAGCTGAAATGGAAGCATCCTGGATAACAAGTGAGGAATTCACCCCTGCATGATCCAGAGTAATAGAACGTGGGTACAGGAAAAATACAACAAGGAAGAAGATCAGCAGACATCCACAGACAGCCAGAGTCACGTATAACTTCCTGAAAAACAACCATGATAAAAAAAGTGTACTCATATCACTGCTTTACACAATACATAAAATACATTCCAATATGCTAGTTTAGTTTCAGACGGATTTCCACATAAACAGTGTAAGAGGATGTCCTTTGGTGTTCATTTTAATTAAGCCCACCTACAGTGCTTTCAATCTTCCGAATTTCAAATTAAAGGTAAAGACTAATAACACAGCAGGGTCTATACATAGCTTCCTGAAAACTTCACAGCAACCTGCCTCCGTATTCATTTCAAGAGCCCTCAGCCCTGATGCAAGCAGTGGACTGGCTGTTGGGAGGGGTTATGTAAATGTCAAAATGCGTTGATGGGTGGATGTCAGTCTGTAGTAGGGATGAGCAAATGTGCCTGGGTTCGGTTTGTAGGCCCTTGTTAAAACCAAGGTAAAGTCTAACAATTTTGAAATTAAGTTTGAACCCCACTGAAGTCTATGGGGAGGGGGGAATTTTGGAAGTCAAGTCTGCACATTTTCAAGGCTAAAGAGATTGTAAAGCAAAGGGTAAGGGGAGCTGAGTACTGTCAGTGGGAGTTGGTACCAATACAAAAAAAAATAAAAAACGTTCACATAAAGGGTACTCCTTTTTTACGACTTTGAAGGTGACATAGGGAAAGTCCTATAAATGACATGCTTTGGGGATGTTATTGAACAGTATGATTATCACAGTGTCCACAACATCGTATTCTGGCATCACATATTTTGCACGTGTAATAGCTTTTTTTTAAATTTTTTGCTTAAATACATTACCAACAGCACCCCAACCTGATTTCAAATACCTTGAACAATTTTCTTTTTTGTTTAGGTAGTTTTGCTTGTGACATGATTTTTTCCAGCAGTAATAGTCCTAAATTTACCACTGAAAAGGAGCTGCTGCAACAAAGCTACAAAAGCTAAAAGAAAAATGTACTGTTAAAAAAAAAAAATAAGCTAAAGACCTCAATGTTGTACAAACCGGCCTATGACATAACAGTTCGATATTTCACAGTGCCACAATGCATTGTCCTAGACGTTTTCATCAGCAGTACTGTATAGTAAGAATATAGCAGCAACTATCTTCATGCAAACACTTAGTGATCTGTCCCTACCTACACCATGTCCATCTACTCCAGCACACTGGCAAAAGGCTGCTGAAAACCCTGACTTTTATAGGGAGGAGGCTGGAACATAAGAAAACTCCAATGATTGGTTCTTCTAAGTCACCGGACCAAGGTTCAGAGGCAAGGAAGTGCATTATTGGTCATTGGTTGCCAAAGCATAAAACAGCCACATTAATTCAACATTTTCCTAAAGTGCAAACAACCTGAACTCGATGCTCATCCCTAATCAGGAATGAGCATTCGCAGAAATCAGCATGCATGCAGACCACTCTTGGTAATACCCATACATGATGCCGAGCCTCAATGACTGAAAGAACAGACATCCAATAAATGACAGGGATCAGCCAGACGAAGTGAAGTTGGAGAATAAAGGAATAGATAATGCTATATGTCCTCCAGCAAGAAAATGAGACTCTGCTTCAGCTTCTAAAGCACACTGTAAGGGGCTGGGTTCACACCTGAGCGTTTTTTTTCAGCTAGTGTTTCAGCTTGTTTTTTAGCACGTCTTTCCGTTCAGTGAAACGCGCGTATCACTGGCGGTATGATTTTTTGGGGGTTTTTTCCTTTATTTTCTCTATTTTAAATTATTTAATTTTATTAGTTTCACTTTTAAACTTCCCGCCGCTCCGCCCCCTGCGATGCGGCTGCTCGCAAGGGACGGAACCCGGAAGTCGGCAGCCGCCAGAGGACACAGCAGGGATTGTGGACAAGGTAAGACCTGTACACTGTATTCCCGAGTGTGGCTTAACCCCGATCCACAACGGGGTTACCGCTTTGTTAACCCCGATCCACACTCGGGAATACCAATGGAAACACGCGGCAAAACGCCCCAAAGAAGCTCCTGTATTTCTTTGGGCGTAGGGCGTTTTGCAGAGCGTTCCTACGCGCTGTAAAACGCCAAGGTGGGAACCATGCCCATAGGCAATCAATCATTTTCACATGTGGAGCGTTTTACAGCGCGTAGGAACGCGCTGTAAAACGCCCAGGTTTGAACCAGGCCTAAAGTAAGCAAATTTAGTACAAGAGAGGAACTTGTACAAGTGTGCATGAGTAAAGAGAAGACTGGAGTTGAGCTTTAAGCTCTGACTGGGAACTTAACAGTAAGGCTTTGCATGGATATACCTTTATATCCATTCACTTGCTGATGGATTGAGACATTATGGAGATGGTAGTTTCTAAAACAGGCACAGTGAGAAGACCATAGCTATGTAAAGAGGTAGCTGGGGAAAGGAACATTTTGGCCAGATACTGTAAAGAACAGTAAATATCTTCATGCATCACTTCCCCCTTCCTTTTAGATTGTATGCCCTCAGAGGCAGGGCCCTCCTTACCATCTTGTCTTGATTTGTATTGTGATTTTAATGTCTTCCTTATATTGCAAACTGTTGGCGCTATACAAATCCTGTATAATAATAATAATAGCTGGCCACATACCGTAATATTTTCCTTATTCGACACGCAAGCTGAACAAAGAAAATATTACAAATGTCCCACTGTCTTCATTATGTTTGAACAGTCGCCGGCACCCGCTGTCAAAATAGAGCTGGTAGCTTATTGTCTGCCTGCTCGGTTTGCTTGTAGATTTTCGGATCAGCTGATTAAGGGGTGGCAACCCTCAGTGCGAATTTCTTCCAGTTCATCAAGAGCCAGCCGAAATTTGTATGGCCAGCTTTAGGCTTAATCCAAGTCAGGTTAGGACAATGCCAGAGCATATAAAATCTCTGAGCCTGGAAATCTCTCAGGTCCCTTCACACTGTTGAACAGTTACCACAAGTGACACCTTACCACAAATGACAGTAATGCATGAATTGTAATGCACTACGAATGGATGGTTTAATTTTGAATGGCACCCAACACACTATTAAAGCAGCAGGCAATGCATTGCGCAACAAAGTACATGCCACGCATTGTGATGAGCCGGCCACTTTAAAAAAAAGTGTCTGTTTTTCTGTATGCTTAGATGCGTTTCCAGCCCATTCAAAAAGAATGGGCTGCCTTAACACAGCATGTGTTAAATGGTAACTCATTGCGATAATGCAACACAGTATTAAGAGGACTTCAAGGTGTTGTGTTTGTACCCAATAGTTATGGGATTCTCTATAAGCAACTGAGTAAGACTATAAAAATAAAGTTAACCAATTCTTAGTAGGCAAATGAAGGCTATAAAAAAGGTCTAAATGTATGGAATATACACTATCCAGAATGTCACTATGTAAAGGAAGGAAACTTTTAAAGTCAAGACAGGTTGATCAAGAAAAATCTGACAGAACTGGTGCAGTTATTAGTTGCCACAATGCCAGCAGTGTTTTGATCCACTTTGAAACATTTATAAACACTTCTATGGAACATTTATAACACCTTCCTTAGCTAGAGGCATTTTGGAACCACATCCTGTGAGATGTTAAAATGAAAATATAACTCCTTGGAAACCGTAGCCAAAGATACGTTTGAATAAAAGAATAAAACAAAATAACAAAAACCACAAGATCACACCCCCCCCCCCCAAACAGAAAAAAAA